ACTGGGAGCCGCTTAATTCCTGATGGTGGTGTGGTACTCAGGAGCACGGGCTTCTGAGTCCACCCCCCTGACCCCAGGTTGGAGACCCTGCCCCACCTTGGACAAGTCACTGGACTTGAGTCTCTGTGTCCTTTCCTGTAAAATAAAGACACTGATGTAACCAACCTGTGCAGATTCGGTGAGGACCATGCAGGTAAAACCTAGCACATAAAGAAGTGCTCGGTGAAATCATCCCAAGTTCGGGAAGCCCCCATGCCGTGTGTAACATGGCGGGGCTGGGAGACGTCTACAGACAGGATTCTATACCCCTGTTACCCTGGAGGGCTGCGAAAGATGATCTTTTGCCCCAGGCCATCCGGGACTTTGCCCTGGGCCATCTCTGGGCTTCACGCCAGCTCCTTCCCTTGCTTGCAGTGGGCGGCAGGGCCCCACCCCCTTTCCTCCTGTCTGGGCTCTGTATCCCTCCCACGTCAAACACCAGTGTTGGCCACAGTTGTCAGTGAAATGTAATTCTCAGGCCCTGTCACAGGGTTCCTGGAAAGGTGGCTTCCCTGGTCACAGAACTTCAGGAAGCATTTGGTCAGACAGGTCTTTTCTGTTGGTTTCCTGAACCTTACTGTGCTGCTGTGTCTAGCCAGTGTCCAGGCGGACTGCTTTTTTACATACTAATTTGATCAGGGAGCATTTTACTGGACCGTTTCACCAAAAAAACACTGTGTGATAGAATCTGGGTTGAATATTCTGCATTTGATCAATATTTCAGTATTTTAAGTCTTCATGGTGGTGGTTTTCCCCTGACCTGTGAAGAGAAGCGGGTTGGAAATTAGAGCAGGTCATAGATGCCTCGCTGCTTCTGGTCCCTATGCATTCCCCACGCTTGAGTTTCGTGTAGCGGCTTATGGGCTGACATAGCAGCAGCAGCCTGGCGATGAAGGGTGGTTGCAGAAACAGTCTATGCCCATGGCGGTCCGTGTGGGGCAGTCCTTTGTGCAGTGGGGCATCGGTACCAGTTTGCAGTTGGCAGGCGTTGGGGCCTCCCAGAGCTGAGCAGAAATGCAACGTGTGTGACTCCAATGCTTTGTGTTTGGGGTGGAGAGGTGACCAAAGTTCATTTGCATTCTTTCCTAGTGCAGTGGCTGGATGGGGACAACCATCTAGCTGGGCTGGGTTAGTAGAACACCCAGCCTGCCGCCAGCAGGGGTCCTGCTGCAGTCGTCTCCCACTGCTGTGTCCTGTTCCTCTGGGGAGCCCTTACTGTGCCTCACTGGGTCCTAGTCTTTGTGGCATGCAGCATTTCATTCCCCCCGTGACTGCTGGCTGCGTGCCGGTTACCTGTGGAGTTCTGTGTTTGGCATGGAGGACACAGGTGAACAGAACAGACGAAGCCCCGCTCTTGTAGAGCTCTGGTCCTAGGTGCTGTCAGTGGACCGATAAACCCTGTAGGAGTGCCAGGGCTCCGCAGTGCCAGGCCGTTGTCACGTGCAAGCCCCATCGCATGTTTTCCCGTTAGGTCTTCTGCCCTCAGCCTCCTGGTTTCTGCTTTTCCTGTGGTGTCCAGCACAGGATAGGCTTTAGTGGACATTTATGTGCGTGCACAGCAGCTGGTGTTCTGTGTGTGATGGAGATGGAGTTTAGTTCAAACATTGATTGGGTGGTGTCTACACAGCGTGCACCGTGTAATGTGCTGAGGGCGGAGCCGTTTGGATGCTGCAGCTATGGTCTGGGCCTCCCTAGCAGGCAGCCCCTGGGGGGCGGGGCGGGGCAGGCGTGTAGTGCAGGCTGGGAGCTTCCTGCAGGAGACGAGGTCTGCGTGGGGGCAAGTGCTGGCTACGCAGAAGAAGGCGAGCACGTGTTCTAGCCAGAGGGGCTAAACCAAGCAGGAGTCCAGGAGTGTGTCATAAACGTGGGGCATGCAGGGGACAGCAGGCTCTTCACCACTGTGGTCAGGTGGGAGGTGGAACAGAAGTGGCTAGGGCATGGCCTGTCCGAGGACTCAGGCCCTCGTCTATGGAAGGACGGCACAGTTGTAAGTGCATTTCACACCAGTGGTTCTGGCTGCTCTGTGGACGCCGCCCTTAAGGGGCTGAGAGTGGAGGCCGAGAAAGAAAGAGGGTCTGAGTGGTGGCAGGGCAGGGAGCAGGAGACAGGAGGTCTTAGCGAGGGTCTGATTGGACGCCACCCCAGCTTTCCTGCTTTCTGGGTTCTGCTTTCAGAGCTCAGTTCCCACGTCCCCTTCCTCAGCCGCCTCTGTTTCCGGCTGAGCAGCGAGCCCAGGGCAGTACAGAGATGTTCCTCTGTCAGAGGGGTCCTCTCCTGGCCCGTGCCCTGAACCTGCCATGGCCTTCACATCACAGGGGGCCCAGGCTTCCCGGAGTTGCCCAAATGGCCAAGGTCGCTTCTGGGCAACGTGCGGATTAGCCAACACGGTTCTCCACCAGAAAGCTCTTCCACTCCCACCCCAGTGACCCTCAATTCCAGCCCTCCTTACTAGCCTGGCACCGTGCCTTGCATTCGACGCTTTGTCGGGTGTTTGTTGAGTCCCTACAGCACGCCACGATGCCAAGTACCGTTCTTGGGCCGCGGGATGCCAAAGGGAGCAGAACAGAATCTCTGACTCACGGAGTCTGTAACTCGGCAGGGGAGACAGACTGTAGCCCATAAATACACAGCGGACCAGGTGGCAGTGTTGCTGTGAAGAAAAGCAAGCGTGTCAGCCTCACTCTGAGGCCAGTCCAGGGTTTCTTCTCCACCGTGCCGAGGACAGCGTATGTTTAGTTAAGTCCGCACTGGCCACACAGTGCCTCTCTCAGGCTGGAATCTGTTCATGACAAGGGGCAGAAACATAGCTCAAACTGGCTTAAGCGGAAATCAGCATTGCTTGGCTTGGGTGATGAGTCCAGGCGCAGGCTAGCTTCGGCTCAAGCTCGACTGAGGGCTTCCACCAGCATTGCCAGGATTCACTCTTCTGTCTCTGGCTCTGCTTCCCTCTAGGTTGGCTCTGGTCTAAGGCCCCTTATGGTGACATGTGGCTGCTGGCAGCCCCAGAGTCATCTCCCACCAGCTCAGCAGCCCCAGCAGGAAGAAGGTGCCCCTTCCCCAGAGGCTCCAACAAAAGGCCTCCTTCATATGCTGCCATGTCCCCCAGGGCTGAGGTTCGCTCCCTCTGAACCACGTGGCGGTGTTGGAGGGGTGGTTCCCCAAAGAAGGTGGGGCTGGGCAGTGCCTCAATGGCCCAAACCCTAGGGGCTTCCTGTGCATCTCGGCTCCTTGCAGCTGGTGAGGAGTCAAATGCAGAAGGGGGGCTGGGGCCTGGTTTGTAGGGTACAGGGGCAGCACCACAAGGCCTCTAGGATCCCCCGGCAGACATGGTGTGGCTAAGCTGCTGTTCTGTCCCCAGAGTCCCTGCAGCGTTCCTTTGGCATCATTTATGGTCCAGGATAGGCTCGTTGATTCGAGCTTGTCGAGCAGCAGCTATGTGCCGTGCTGGGGAGATGGCTGGCTGGAGACCCCTCTGCCCCCACCTGCTCTTTTGCAGCCCTTGGATCTTGTGTATGTCAGTGTCATTCACCCTGGCATTTGCTGTTGCTGTGTGCGGTGAATTGGACCTGGGTGCAGCAGGGTTCCCGGGAGCGGGGTGGAGGGAATGTCACCATCAGTGGGCTGCCTGCCTGCAGACTGTTGCCCCAAGGTAAAGACAGTGTCTGTCCTACTTCTGCAGGAGTGGGATGGTGTTGGTTTGGTCATCCTGGTGCCGTCCCTTTCTCTCCACTTTCAGTTTCTGCCCACCTAGTCTCCCCAAATCCATCCTCTCTCCCCCTTCCCCACACTGTTCTCTCTTTCAGCCTGAACAGACACCCTGCTTCCCAGCACCTTCTACAGCATTCCTCCAGATCCTCGGTGTGGCCACCCCCTGCCCCCATCTCCCTAAGAGCTGAGCCTTCAAGCTGCCGCTCTCCCTTCCGTCTCTTCTCCTTGAGACCCCAGCACAGCCCCCTCTTCCCAGGGACCTTCCCCACACACTAGAGCAGACCAGGCCAGAGCCCAGGCGGATGCCCTCTTGGGAATGCTGTGCCGGGGCGTGACCGGGGGCCCATGAGGGCAGGGCCCTGCCTGAGTCCCGCTCGCCACAGAGGCCCCAGTGCACAGCACACAGAGGAGGCCCCAGAGGCACCCAGGCCCAAGGCCCTGAGGCAGGTGTGGTCTGGGCCTCCCTGTGGGGTCAAGGCAGTCCTCATCTGCATGTCCCCTGACAGCCAGGGGGGTCTTCCTAGCTGCTTGCCACCCACTCCAGGGCAAGTGGAAAGGGCTGTAGATTTGGCTGCCCCTGGGTAGGAGACAAATGGTGTTTCATGGGAACTACAGGCTATATTGCTCTTGTCCCCTCAAGTGACAGAACATCCCAAAGTGTTTCTTCAACAGCAGCTGTTCAAGATGGACTCTCATACTGGCAGCCACTCAGTGACTTACCGCTGCGTAACAGTGCTCACCGGAGGTCAGGTTGAATGCCCGGCCTGCGTGGCCCAGGCTGGCTCTCCAAAGAGCATGCGCAGTGTGGCCAGCTGGTACAGACCAGTCGCTCTTCAGCCTGCAAATTAAAAAAATAGGAACTAAATTAGTCTCCAACAATGGAAATGTAGGAAGCTCCACACAGAAATCTGGCTTCTGTGCGCCACATTCCTGCAGGGCCACAGTTGGTGGCACCAGGTAGTGGCTGGCACACTCCCCCCCTCGTGTACACGTCTACTCTCAGCGAGTCTCGAAAGCTCCTTACTGAGTAAATAATGTGGGTACAGAAAAGGGCCTTGTCATGCCATCGAGCGTTGCAGTCTCACAAACGGAACACGCCCATGCGTCCGTGTCAAGAAGCTGCTCTAAGTGACTTGATGTTCTTTGGAGTTGCTAGCCTTATATATATATTTAACTTATTACAAACCAATGTAGCTTTGTTTACTGTATGAATATAGTGTTGGGGGGAAAAAAACCAATTTTTCTTTTTGCAGAAAAGCCTGCCATTGCTCCTCCCGTCTTTGTGTTTCAGAAGGATAAAGGACAAAAGGTAAGGGGCCGGTAGGTTCTCTCTTCACGTCATTGCTCTGATTTCTTCTGTCCCAGGGAGTCCTCGTTCAGGTCGCATCGCCATGGCTGCGTCTGCCCACAGGTGGGGACACTTAAGCAGGGGCTGTTAAGACTGTACACTGAGCTTGGAGGGGAGAGGGCCAGTGGCTTTAGGTTACCATGGAGACAGGTTAAGCCGGTCTGTTGCGGAAAGGGCTGCGGGAACACGGCTTGTTCCCTGCTTGTTCAAACAGCGGTAGCAGGCTTCTCCCAAATTCCTAATGATTCGCTTTGGAGACGCCACTGTCCGCTAGAAAAGCCAGCAGCAGAGGGACAGAAAAGGGGGAAGCCGGGGGAGGAAGGAGGGGGCAAGAGAGGATGGAAAGGGGAATGGTAGTTAGGGGATAAACAGGACCTTTAAATATTTTAGGGGCATTTTCAGGGCCCTAACCAACTTGGCATAAATGCACTTAGAATGTTGCTAGTTTGCTTGCATTGTGTGTTTATCATCCATTGTCAGGAGGTTGTGTCCCGCCTGGGATTTGGGGTGTTTCGATTGCACCGTTGTCGGAAACACTTGCCTGGTTGATAGTAGCCTGTCAGAGGTCTGACTGGTGTGGCAGTAGGGTTCTGTGATAAGACGCTGTAGAGGTTGCTTACCTTGAAGCCATCCATTTACATCCCTCCCTAACAGATGAGGGTGGAAGGTCGGAACTCTGTCAAAAGTTAGTGCCCTGTGGCCGCGTTTCCCCAGCGTGTGTGAGGACTTCGTCTGTCTAAAAATTGCACAGTCCCTCCCCACTGAGGCCCCACGGCGGTAGTTGTAATTTAATATTCGTTGCAACCTTTTATAGTTACAAAGTGCTGCACTGAACTCTGAATTCAGTACATTTTGAGGTATCTTTGTATCTGGTCGATAATAACGGCATTTGAGGATCTCATCAACTTGGTGCTCCTGTGGATTCTGTCTCTTGCAGTTGACTGGCTCCGAGGTTGGGGGCTGCTGCTGTGGTGATTTGGGACTCCTGGCTGCTGTCTTAAATCCTGTCCCTTGGTCTGAGAATTGAAGTCAGAACTTCTCTTTGTGTGTCCTGGTTTTCCTTGACAGTGTTCAAGTGCCCAGCGGGGAAGGGGGCTTGTGTGTGTGTGTGTGTGTGTGTGTGTGTGTGTGTGTGTGTGTGTGTGTGTAGGGGGTAAGGGGGCAGTGGCTGCCCCTAACCCCCCACCCCTGCACAGGGTGCCTCTGAGCTTGTCTGCTAGGCTTGTCACTCCATCGGCTGTCTCATTCTCACCTTAAACTTTCCCATTGTTAATTCTTTTGCAAGAATCAGGAAACCTATGAAAACTGATTTCCAGTGTTGGTTATCTAGATGGTGTTTTCCAGGTACATCTACCTCTGCTCTCTCTGCCTGGGCCCTGACCAGTACAGCTCAGTCACACGGGTTTTTGTTATCTGTCCTTTGAAAGTCCTTTAATTAATACGAAGGAGCTAATGCCTTTCTTCCAGGTTTTAGGGACACAATATTAAAGTCTTAGGAGTTGGATGTGTTAGAGCTCTGTTTGAGATGTTAGGTCGTTTCTCTCAGGTATTCAGTAAAATCAGGATTTTCCAGAATTTTGGAATGTATTATGATCATCTTTTGAACCACTTTTAGTTTAAACCAGGGACCTGCAAACTAAGGCCCACTGCCTAAAGCTGTTCTCTTTTAGGTGTCTTGCCCAAGCTGGCCTCAGAACTCCAGGGTGCAAGGGATCCTCCCAGCCCAGCCTGCCCGGTAGCTGGGACTACAGGCCTGTTCCATAAACAAAGTTCGCTGGAACATAGCCCACCTGCCCCTTCACAGTAGTCTGTGGCTGCTACAGCACTTTGGACAGAGACCATCTAGCCTGCAGAGTTGAAGATACTTAGCATTTGACCCTTTGCAGAAAAAAAGTTTGCCAACCCTTGATTTAAAACAGTAATAGGAATTCTTTGAACACATTGACTGCCACACTAGAAAAAAATTTTTTTTTTCTTGGGGCCACCCACGGTGTTTTATTACAAAAATAGAATAAAAACTTTGAAAACAAAATGATCTTTTCTAATTTAATGAAAAAATTATTTTTTATTGTTTTCTGTGCATGGGTTATATACAACTAAATTGTCAATATTAATTGTAACACTAAGAAAACATCAACAAGTAAGATTTTCACAAACCAACTGCAGGCCTCAGGCTCAAAACTAGCATGAGTTAAATACAACTCACGTGGCAGTTAATGTGTTAAACCTGAAGGTGTACGACAGCCATCCAGATAAAACACTAAAATGTAATATTTGCTCAGATGAATTTAAAGTGCCCCTGTCTCAGTCCTGTTCTTTTTTTTTTTTTTTTAGACGGAGTCTCACTTTGTTGCCCAGGCTAGAGTGAGTGTCGTGGCGTCAGCCTAGCTCACAGCAACCTCAAACTCCTGGGCTGAAGCAATTCTGCTGCCTCAGCCTCCCGAGTAGCTGGGACTACAGGCATGCACCACCATGCCCGGCTAATTTTTTCTCTATATATTAGTTGGCCAATTAATTTCTTTCTATTTATAATAGAGACAGGGTCTCGCTCTTGCTCAGGCTGGTTTCGAACTCCTGATCTCGAGCAGTCTGCCCTCCTCTGCCTCCCAGAGTGCTAGGATTACAGGCGTGAGCCACCGCGCCCAGCCTTCAGTCTCGTTCTTGAAGCTACAGTGGTTCTGTCACTTTGTGATTCAAGGGCTCATTTATATGTACGGCCTTCATGGGGTCTATACTGGCATTGAACCTGAACTGGAAGGCTAGTGAGGCTTCTGTGTCATTTTTAAAATGCAAGAGTGTAGTCCCTGTCAAAATATTGACTCAGAGCCAATGCTAAATGGGCTTCTAAAAATAACTGCTCTCCAGCTCTTCGGAGTTTAGCTCCCCACTTCTGAGGCACAGTCCCCACAAGGGCATTTGGAGAACCTCTCTGCGTTGAGGACAGGCCCGGGAGGAGCCGTTGCGGGGCGCTTTCTCAGCTGTCGGCAGACGGCGTCCGTCCGCATGGACGTGGGGTCTTTCCTTCTCTGCTGCCTGTGAGTAGGGTGGAGAGTAAACACAGGGCGGGCATCTAGCTGCGTTTCTCCCTGGCTTCCCCAGGCCTGCAGGAAGCAGCCACAGTTTTCCTGTCAAAAATGAGAATTTGGGAGCCATTCGGGCTTCAGTCTCTTGCAGAGTTAGTCAGCATCCCCTTCTCGTTCTTCAGAAGGCAAGTTGGGAAAGAATGGATAGGGCTGCTGGGGTTGCTTGGTTTGTTTTTCAGAACAGATTTTCTCTCCACTTTTTGCTGCAACTTTCTATTTTGAAATTTTCAAATTTTATTTTGGAAGTTTTCAAATCCTTGGAAAAGAATGACACTGCGAACACTTGGTTCTCCTTCACCCCATTTCACTGTTAACGTTCCGGTCCTCGATACTGACGCACTGATACTGATACTCGTTGTAGGTTTCACCTGTGTGATGTTCTCCCCTAAAAACTTCTGCAGGCATCTAGGAACAGCCTCATTCTCCTCCACGGTCTCAATACCAGGTCACTCCTAAGAAAATGACCATTAATTCGGCAGTATCCTCCACATATAGTCCATATTGTAAATTGTCCTGATTGTCCCAGAAATGTCCCATTACTAACCGTGGGACTGGCTCAGTAAGGATCTCAAACCACCTAGTGAGTTGGCATAAAAGAGCCCGTTCCCCCATTTAAAGGAGAGAGCTCCATGTGCCTGGGTTTTATTGCTGAATCATGATTGAGATAAAGGAGATTTGGGATTGAAAAGAAAGAAATTAAGCTGCCAGCCTGGAGTTTTTTGTTTTTGTTTAGTGCCAAAGCCACGCAGCATTTTCTGTGGATGCCGTTGATGTGCCAAATTGCATGTGCAGCAGACTGCAGATTGGTGGCGGTGGCCTGTGTGTGGACTGCCAGTGGCATCGCTTAGCCTTGGGCAGTTGCCAAATCTCCTCCTATTGTTCTGTGTTAGAAAAGGCCAGGGACAGTTAGGACGTTTGCACTCCAGTCCTAGCCGCTGAGATGAATTCATAGCCAGAGTTACAGCACAGGGACTTTGGTTACTTCCTTCCCCGTTTCTGGCTCTCTCTGACACTCTCGCAGTGATATGCGTTTGTGTTTGAGAAGCAAAGATGAAGCCTCTTTTTTCTGCACTGCTTTGAGTGGAGACAGAGTTCGTTCTTTTTCTTTTCAATGTGGAGGAATTTAAATGTCCTCATGTGGGTTGTTTCTTATTTGTAATGACTAAATGTTTCTTTCAGTTGCTCTCTCAGGAGCATTTGTTAACCTGAAGCGGGAGGCGTTGGGGTTACACTGGCAGGGTGGTGCTCGTTTGGTAAGAAGACAGAAGGCAGTTACAGAAATGCCACTTAGCAGAAAGTACAGTGTTACTGAAAACACTGGAGTTAGGCCTAATCTCGAAGCTTATTGTTGGTGAGACAGATTTTGCACGTGGTTTTTGTCAGCCACGTGCATTTTAGGATGATGTCAAAGTCCGGCAAAGTCTTGATGTCTGATTTTACCAAACATATTGAAAAACTGCAGGCCTTATCTTGGTTCTTGAGAGCTTACTTTTCTTGCCCAGTAGAAACACTAGGACCCAAGTAGAAAATGCTGGAATGACATTTGTTAATTCTCCTAAGAAATGTCTTCTAGATCCAAGAGAAGAAATGATGTGACACCTCCCAACCCTTGTAAGAGTCACTCATTTACCTGAAGATGAAGAATCGGACCCTGTTCAGATCCCTTTGTCTTCATCTTGATGAATTTCTTTTTGGTCCTCCTGTTTAGCATTTTGAGTCACCATGAGGGCATTCGAACATTTACATTCCAAAAGCAGGACTTTAAAAAAAAATTCCAGTGGTTCTAATTAAAGATAGGCAGTCTCCCACAGAGCTCTGGGTTTAATTTTTCTCTTGTGAGGTGTTAAATCTCTAGCCGTAAAGTAACAGCAGATGTGGGTGGCCTGTGCAGGTTTGGGAAGGCATTTGTGTCGAAGAGGTGACGGTGTTCCCTTGGTGACTATTGAGGCAGGCGGCTGAGCTAACATGTTGCTCTTTGCTTTCCTAAGAATTTTTGAAAGATCTCTTAAATCCTTTTCATATAGTTCCCACGTTAAAAAGTAGTGTCCCAGCCCTGTCCAAAAAGGTCAGTCACTTCACACTCAGAAGAAATGCACCCGAAGCCATGGGGAGACAAGGCAGCCCTGTGATCATTTAGGTCACCATGGGAGGGGAACAGCTCTGTGTCATTGGACAATGCCATGTGGGAGGTTTGGGGCCTGGAGCCCATCTGTTTTAGGATGCCAGGTGCCTAACCTGTTTATTAAGAAAAGAGCTTTGGAGGTATGGCCAGAGAACTCTCAGCCCACAGAAGCCCCTCGGAACCACCTTAAAGGATGCCAGGATGTTGTACTTGGGGAGGAAGACTTCCAGAACCAGCTTGCTCTCACGGTGGCTGTTTGCTGAATAACCCCTTGCCTGGGTGTTTAGGGTGCACCAGGGAGAATCCCAGCCCTGGCTCTCTGTTGATGTGCTCGGCCCCCTCCAGCTGAACTCCTGCCTGCTGATCCACACACCAGCTCTCGGGGTCTCTGTCACCCCACACCTGCACTCACTGAGGCGGGAAAGCACTTTCTCCATCTCAGGTGCAAGCAGAACAAACTGAAAGATGCAGGGAGAACTCGCAAGAGGCAGACACCTTAGACCCTGAACTCCCTGCTTCCTCTTAATGGTGGTCCAGGCCCGTCTCCCGTACCCTTTCCTCCAGCACAGCAGTGTGGAGGGCCAGCGTCCCTGCTCAGTATTTTTGAGGAGATGTGTTATTGGCCTGTAGGGATTTTGAGAGTCTTTGGCATAATCGTCCCTATGCCTTGGCCACCAAGAGGGCATTTCCTCCTTGAGGCCCATAAGCAGAGTAGCTCCATGCCAGGCCCACCCATGGTTTTGAAAACAAGGATCTCAGAGTCAGGCAGCACGAAAGCCACTTTCATTTTTCCCTTCTGTCAGCCGGGAGGGCCGGTTTTGTTGAGCAAAACACAACAGCATGTGCCTGCTTTTCTGGCCTGTCCCCCCAGGCGGCTCTTGCCGTTTCCCTGGAGGTCAAGTCCTCTCTAGCCCTGTGACCCAGCCCTGCCCTCCCCTGTCCTGTGGTGCAGCCTTTATTCACATTGAAGGAAAATTGTCTTTTTTGCTCCCAGTCCTCTGCAGAGCAAAAAGACTTGTCGGATTCGGGAGAGGAGCCTCGGGGGGAGGCTGAGGCCCCCCACCATGGCACGGGTCATCCCGAGTCAGCTGGTGAGCATGCCCTAGAACCTCCTGCCCCCGCTAGCACTTCCGCCAGCACTCCTCCGCCTCCCGCTCCTGAAGCCCAGCTTCCTTCTTTTCCGCGAGAACTGGCAGGGGTAAGTCCACATCCACCCGGCACTCCTACTGCCCAGGGGCCCAGACCCAACCGCCCCTTCCCTCGGGTCCCTGGATCCAGGCCCTAGGTAATTGTAAGCAGCTGACGGTAACATAACAGATGACAAGGATTCCTCCAGCTCCCTTTGATCTGTGCTGCTGAAAAGTCAGGAAAGGTCAAGTCCCCTTTTTCCATGTAGGCTTTTCCAGTTGGGGGACAGGGACCCATCGCAAGGGGTGAGTCCCATTTCCTAAGAGACACGCGGGGTCAGAAGAGGAACTGAGTGGTGGGGTAGCACTTTCCAAACCAAACTCGACCCCTCGCCCTCCTGCCATTTTTCTTTCTCCTTTCCCTGAACTTGGGCGTTCGAGTTCAGCGTCTCAGAAACCCAAGAAGCTAAGGCTTCCCTTGCTGTGTAGGAAGAGGCGCTGTCTAACACAGATTGCTTTGCGAGACTGATTGTGTTTGGACTGTGGTTAGGCGGTGAACTGCTTGTCTTCAATCAAAGCAGGAAGAAGAAAAGACTCTTCCTTTGAATCCAGAGGGAATCCCTTGAGCCCTTTATCTTTGTATTAAGAAGGCTTTTGAAGATTATAGGTGGAGAAGATTGTGAACTCTCAAGAACAAGAAATGTCTTGGGTTTTTGAAGTTTGATAAATTGGGAAAGGTAAACATCATCCTACATTCAGGATTGAAAACTCCATCCTCTAGGTATCTAATGCCAGAAGACCCCTATTCTCATGACAGGGAGAAAGGACTGTTAACAGGAAAACAGAGGGCCCTGCTCCACCATCCTGAACACCTAGGCAGCCTTCCAGGGTGGCACGGTCCCAGACCTCAGCGATTCCCTCTACCACACACCAGTCCTCTGCTTGTTTAAGAAAACCATTAAATAAAATTCAGTTGCGGCCACCAAACCCTAGAACACTCAGGAAGTGGTGTTCAGCCAGAGGTAGGTTGGAGTCCTACATTTTGGAAGCATCGTGGGAAAAGAGGAAGCCTTTAATTACCACATGGCAGAGTCTCTGGGGGAAGGGGCCATCCTTCATGGCGCAGAAGGGGGTTTAGGACAGCGAGACACACTCAGAAGCCAGGAGGAGGATTCCAGCCAGGAGGCCCTTGCAGTGTCCCTCAGGCGAGAGTGCGTGAGAGCCGCCAACGCGAGAGTTAGGAGGTGGTTGGTGTTTTGTTTTTTTTGTGGGGGGAAACAGCTCTTGGAACTGTCTCTGGAGTTGGATGTCGTAAGTTATGGTGCCTTTGGCATTCGAGGGCCCGGGAAAGGGTGTTCTCAGTTCTCTGTTGTTGCCCTCTAAGAGTAGATGATCTTTGTCTGGGTCTGCTAAAGAGGTGGTGGGTTTCAGAACGACAGCAGCAGACAAGGTGGGTAGACCACAGGGCTTTTGTGACAGTAACTGCTCTTCAAGAGCACATGGGCTTCTCTTAGAGGCCCATGCAGGAAGTGTCCCGAGGGAGCCTCACCTTCCGCCCGTGACCAGTCCAGGCATTGCTGTGCGGCTCGGCCAGCCCAGGTGGTGGCCTGTGTCCACAGAACTCAGTATCCTGATTCTTAGGGACTTTGTGTCAGAGGCTCCACTCCTGAGACAGTCAGGCAGTCCCCATGTTGGCAGATGAAAGGACGCACAAGGGCAGAGTGCCTTGAGAGGAGCTGTTAAGTCCCCGTGGGAGAGGGCCAGGTTTGGGGGACTCACAGGGCGGTTTGTAAATGTGCCAGCGCAGCACTGAACGCTGTGCACTTGGCAGACATGCGCACTCTTCGGTTTGAGCATTCGTCTGAGAAGTCCCAGGAGCACCACCGTCACACCACTTTTTGACAGCTCTGAGCCAGCCAAGGCTCCACTCCCTTGGGGCTCTCTGCAGAGAAACCCCGGCTTTCTCTACTGACTGGGCATGCTCAGAGCAGAGGAAACTTTATTTGAGGTCAATTAGGCCATAAATCAAGTGAGTTGAAGCCTGATCCCAGCTTCTTCCTGGGCTGAGATTTTTCTTTGGGTAACTCAGGCTATTTTCTTGTGCATCAGGACAGATTTGGATCTTGCCCCATGTCACGTTGGGGGTCAAGAAACCGCCCACGGGTTACCCAGCGGGTCTCATCCGTCATGTCTAGTCCGTTTTCTTTATCCCACAGTCCCCGGGGGAATGTACAGCCGAGAGTTGTTTATGATAAGTAGTGGCTCGCTGAGTTGTTGCCTATAAAGGGGCCGTATCATCTTTCGGTCTCATCAGAGCTCTGGCCGGGGCCGACTCGGTACCAGGAAAAAGTCTCCATATATCAGACTTCCTGGCTCTCAGAAGACAGTTTGAGGAAGACCAAACCACATCCAGATTGAGTTCTCCCTGTGATCCGAGGAAAGCAGGCAGCTCTCAGTGCTCACTCCGAGCCGCTGGGATTGTGCTGGACTGAAGCTCCGTGCCAAGGCAACACTGAGCTCCAGGTCTGTTTATTAGACCTACTGGGAAGCTTAAGAAGATTCTGGAATGAGCCCTTCTGGCTAGACAGCTTCCCCGTATCGCTCTGTTCCTGCTCAGGATCTGACCCTCACTGTTCCTCAACTCTCAGACTTCGGGGGCTGCTTCTCTTTTCCTCTTTTCAGTGTCTGCCTTTTTGACAAGAATCTCTGCACTGGTTGCCCCAGTCACAGAATAAATGGCATTGACTCAGCCCACAGTTTACTTCCTAGCTCGTCAGTCCAGACAGGTTCACTGAGGCTCTGTCGGGTTTGCTGCTGTTTTCTAGAAGGAAAACGTGGCCTCGTTCTGGTCTCTTCTAGGGGGTCTGGTGGACAGTGCTGTTCGTTCCTGCCTGCTTCCTGTTTGTCCTCATGTCTGTAGTGTCAGCTTCTGGAACGCGGCTCCAGCCAGCTCCATCCCCTTCCCGGGGCCACCGTGGCAGCTCTGTCCTCCTCGAGGCCATGCCAGGCAGCCTTGGGAGAGCCGTGGTTTGGGGGTGGGGCAGTTCCATCCTTTATACAAAGAATAAATGCCTCCCACCTCTACATTCCCATTCAGGGTTGGGTGTGACCCTCTGTCTTGTGCACCTTGTGCTTGGCGATGAGGACTCCTGTGCCTCACGGTGTTGAGCTGCTTCCCCCGCGGCCCTGGAATTGTGGGAGGAGAGCTGGCTGGGGCTCCTGTCTCCACCCAGCTCGCAGCCCTCGGCAAGCGGCTGCTGCGATTGCTCAGGCCTCACCAGCCCGTGGCTGGGCACCCCGGGCTGCTGCTTCCTCTTCTCTGAGCCTGCTTCATTCATTCGTGCTGTCCTGATGCGAGAGAGAAAAGTTGAAGGGTGATCTTGGGTCTCCTTAATCCTGCTTCCTTGTTTATCAACTTGGGATGTCTTCATCCTGGTATCCCAAATGGCTGCTGACCCAGCATTCCCTGGGTGTTGTCTTGAAGTCCTGACTCCTACTGTGGTGGAGTCAGTTTGGGGAAAAGCAGAGGAGGAAGAAATGGGGCCCCACACCCTGCTCCTGTCCCCACTTCTCCCCAGGAGGCACATGTCCTCAGCTTGCTCTTGGACTCCTCCTTGTGCAAGTCCCCGTCACAGTGACTCTTAAGCTCTGGTCAGCAGATGTCTGGGGTCCGACCCCGTATGTGTCCCAGGGATGTTCTCCACTGACCCCCGAGGACCCCTCCTTTGGTTGGAGTGAAGGGTGGTCCCCAGACTGCCTTGCAACCCAGATAGGTCCAGCCACTGGGCTGCCGTGTCTCAAGGAAATAGGAGATGTTTACAGAGCTGGCCTTGGCCTTGTGTGGAGCCATGTGGCTTGAAGGGGGCTCCTGCACCCCAGACTCTTCCTTCTTTGAGGAAGGCAGCACGCTCTGACTTTTCCCGAGAGGAGAGGCCCTGCCTCCCCGCAGGGCAGGGGTGGGGGAGCCCTGACAGGGCAGAGGGGCAGGCAGCACCTTACACGGGAGCTGGTGAGGATTCCAGGAGAGCCAGCGTGTCCACAGGGACATTCTCTCTCCCTGCTTCCTTCCGTCAGCTCTCAGTGAGGGCAGTTGCTGGCTGCAGTTTGCTCACTGCTTCTGGGTTGGCAGTTTCAGACCCCACTGGAGGTTCCAGCAGTATCTGGAAGGTTCCCCAGGATGGGAATCGTCCTGTGTTGTCCTGCCCAAGCCTTGACCTCCCAGCCTCTCCAGGACCAGGAGGCCTGCTGCTCTCCTGCGGCAGGTTCTTAGAAGTGATTTGGGGCTTGGAGTAGAGGGTTTCTTGAGGTTAGGGGGTGAGGACCAGCTGAATTTTGTCTGGCCAGGTCCCGTCTCAGGGTCACCAAAGGGACGGAGCAGAGGACATGGGCTTCATCTTGGCAGCCAGTCCTTACCAAGCGCCTTTGCGCAGGGCATCCCGGGTGTTGGGTGTTGCGCTGTGTTGTAGCGGGAGACACATGCCAGACAGACCCCTGCGATCATCGCCACCTGTGACAGAACAACACAGGGTAGGAGAGGCCCCGCAAGGGGCTGGGGTGCCATAGGGAGTGGGCACAGCGTGCAGGCCCTAGAGGACAGCATCCCCGGGGAAAGCGCCCGAGCTGTGGGAAGAGTGCACAGTGAGGCAGGAACAGAGTCGACATTTTCAGAAGATGGGAAGGGGCCAGCATGGCTGGATCGTGGCAACAATGGGGCCTGCATGTGGGAAGCCACCAAGGACTGTCAGCAGTCAGGCCCTGGGATCCAGGGCTGCTGGTGGGCCAGGGGAGCAGGCAGGCGAGGAGCCAGGCCGGGAGTGGAGGGGGAGGGCAGGTCAGAGAGTTAGTTCAGTTCCAGATGCTTCTCGGGGGCTTGAGCTGGCCAGACCTGCTGGTAGCTTGGGTGTGGTGGGCGAAGGAAGGATGAATCCAGAGCACTTTATGTTCCCTGGGCTGCTCCGAGAGTCACCTCTAGAGCGAGAGAGGTTGGGCAGGAGCCCAGAGGCCTCAGCTCCTGAGTCTTGGATCCCTGAGAAGTGTGGGGGTCTCATGGAAAGAGCCCCTAATTACACAAAGCAAAAACTAACAAAACTGAGGGGAGAAATAATCGATTCTGCCGTAACGGTTGGAGGCTTCAGTAGCTACCTTCAGTAATCAGGAGACCATCTGGACAGGCCGGCAGGAGAGGACTCGAACAGCCCCAGAAACCCACGAGACCTCACAGGCGCCGCAGAACTCCCCACCCAGCAGCAGCAGGCTGCGTGTTCTTCTCCAGCGTACACGGACGTTCTGCGGGGTAGAAAAATGAGTGGAATCATACAGAGTGTGTTCTCCAACTGCAATGGAATGAAATTAGAAATCAGGAGAACTAGGAAGTTCGCACGTGTGGAAGTTAACCTTAGATACCTAGTGGACCAGAGCGAGTTAAGTGTCCAGACCTCCCTAGAGTGCAGTGAAGGGGGAAGTGTCCCGAGCACTGTCACCTGTCAGGGCAGCTGGCCGGACGTGGGTGTCACTGTGTGGCTGGCTCCCACCAGGAGGCGGGGCAGGAGCCTGCGCTGCTGCTCCGTGGCCTGCAGGATGCCTGTGGGCGGAGTCTTTTCCTTGCACAAGTGCCAAGTGAGCTCACGTGAGGACCACTCCCTCTTGGAACTCAGAGTCCAGTAGGGGACCCCAACCCAAATCCCAGAGTTGGAGTCAGAGCCATGCAGGAGAAGTGTGAGGGGCAGTAGATCACAACAACTGAGGGATTGCTTCTCATCTGCGGTGGAAGGAGGACGTCATTGAGTGAGGGAGCAGGTCCTCTGCAAAGGCCAGGGAGAGGGTGGCCATCTCCAGGTCCCAAAGGTCATTCAGGAAGGGGCAGATCCCCCAGACCCGGGAGGCCACTGTGTGAGGGTTTTGGTATAGTTGAGATGCTCAGTGAATTAAAACAGGAAAGGAGAGCCTGGAACGTCGGGATGGGCATGGGTCATGCTGGGCCTGCTGTTAGGAGTGAGGGGGGGGCAGGTGAGGCTGCACAGAGCACTCAGAGGCCAGAGCCAACCTGCAGGGCTCAGGCGAGCGAGAGTTACCCAGGAGGATGTGTCCTGTGTCAGCTTCCGGGGCTGGGCTGACTTAAGGACCGGTCTGGGGCAGTGGCTGGCCCAGGGTGGGATGCCTCGGCTCTGCTGGGTGGGCTGGGCAGTTGCTACCTCACTCAGTTCTCTCTTTGCTAAGTGTGAGGGTGAGTGGTACCTGGAGTCTGCCCCCTGCTGATGTCACCTGGGAAAGGGACAATACAGGGGAGTGCTGGTGACATACCAGAGATAGCTCTGAATCATCAGATGCAACCCCAGGCACTGGCATCTGTGGAATCAAAGTGCTGCCTTAGTGTGTCTCAGCCCCCACGCTAAGTCCTGGGCTTGGGGAGCTGTTCATAACCCAGGTCCCTTACGTCCCGGCTGCACCCAGGACTCAGTTCACGTCCCTGGCTCCCTCTCGCACCTGCCCCCTTGAGCCCAAGCTCTACCCCCAGCAAGGCCCGAGGGCTGGGAGTTTGGCCACATCCTGGTGTGAGTGATAGACATTATAATCGTGCCTGGGAACTGGACTTGGTGCTGGGCTGAGCACATGTGACATTGCCCTGAGCCCTCACTGGGAGGGGACACCGCAGCATCCCCTTTCCGAGTGAGGAAGCCAGGCCTGGGCCAGGTAGGCCTCATGCCTAGGAAACGGCAGAGCCAGCAAACTGACTAAGCTGGTCAAGCATTCAAGAGGTGGCAAGGGGCTGGGTGCGGTGGCTCACACCTGTAATCCCAGCACTCTGGGAGGCCGAGGTGAGTGGATCGCTCCAGGTCAGGAGTTTGAAACCAGCCTGAGCAAGAGCGAGACCCTGTCTCTACTATAAATAGAAATTAATTGGCCAACTAATGTATATAGAAAAAATCAGCCGAGCATGGTGGCGCATGCCTGTAGTCCCAGCTACTTGAGAGGCTGAGGCAGGAGGATCGCTTGAGCCCAGGAGTCTGAGGTTGCTGTGAGCTAGGCTGACGCCATGGCACTCACTCTAGCCTGAGCAACAAAGTGAGACTCTGTCTCAAAAAAAAAAAAAAGAGTTGACAAGAACGGAGCAGCCCTCGTGCTCCATGCTCATGTCCCGGCTGCTGTTTGGTGCTGATGCCAGGGCCAGCCTGCTTGACACGAGCATTTTACTTCGTTTTGGACTCTGTTTTCACCGTTGCCCAGTGACTAATGGAACGCCCTGTTGTATTAGGAGGATTTTGTGTTTCCCAGGCACTCTGGCTGTGGTCTCCTCTGAGCCTCCCAGTTGCCTGGATGGTGCTAACTGGCCCTCGTTTCACAGTCTGCCCCCAAGAACCATTTCCAAAGAGTTCTTGGAACACAGACCTCAAGCGAGAAACCCAGGCTTGCTTGTCTGACACAAACCTGAGCGCTTAGCTCTCACTGGGGAGGAGAAAGTCCAGGTTAGGATTTTTTCTTACTGCTGTGAATTAGCTGTGTGACTTTGAGGAGACCTCCTATCCTCTCTGGGCTCTAGCAGCCCCCAACTCTGGCCCTGGGCCCCTAAGCTAAGATGATGATGTTTACATTTTGAACAGATTATAAAGACAAAAACAGAGACCAAGTGTGGCCCGCAAAGCCAGGAGTACTGACCGGCCCTTTATGGAGATATGTGCCACCTTATTTAGGGGGTCTTTCCTGGTCCCATAACATTCGGTGTTATCTACTGCATGACCTTTCCGCACCACACTCTGCAGTTTGCAGCACACGTCACATGCATGGTCTCGTTGAGTCACTCACAGCTTGCTGAGGTGGGCGGCTCTCTTTGGCTAAACTTGACCTCTGAGGAGCTTTTCTGGACATGAGAAAACTGGCTCTTCTGCTCACTCGTAAACAGAATAGGCCAGGAGAGGTGGTGGTCACTTCCCAGTTTGCTCTTGGCTGCTGTATTCGGAGACGGAACGTCCGTGAGGGGTCGTGTATGGGAAGAGAGGGTGGAAGTTACTCATTTGCACTCTTCACTGTTAATTGTTCACATTCTAAAACTGAAGGTTGATAAAGAGGACATTCTTCAGCCCCCTTCTCTCTGAGCTTGTGGTTGTGCTGTTGTGTGTAGGGCTGTTGTCTTTGATGGTTTGTGGTCTGAGCGCTTTGCAGGGGGCTTTGGCCCAAAACATCAAAGCTCTCATTTGCTCTGGAAATAATAGCTCACCTTGAGACAGGGGTCCCCACCATAGAATGTTCCAAGGCAAAGAACAGAAACTGCTGTGATCCAGTGTTATACGACCATTTTGAACAATCCTGCGGCTCTTCATAGCAGGGAGGGTCGCTTTTCAGCTCTTGGCAAAGTGAACTGTGGCCAGATAAAGTTTCACTGTGTTTGAGTCTGGGGGTGGCAGGCCAGTTAGCTGTAACCTACGGAGACACAGAAACTGATCCTCGTGCTGTAGATGCTCTGCTTAGCACCGTGTTTGGTAGGCCAGATGCAGAGGTTCACCAGAGGTAATTTTTGAGCATTAGGTTGAAATTCTGCCTGTGGTTCGGGTGGCTGAGCTCAGGGAGGTAGCCCTCAGCACCATCGCATGTCGGGCCATTGTTACGGAGCTGGGAGCTGTTGGCTTCCTTAGCCTGGCACGTTCTCACCACCCTGCTGTGCTCTTGTTTCAGAGATCAGCAGGAGGCTCCAGTCCCGAAGGCGGAGAAGGTAAGGAAATACCTAGTGCACTTGACCATTTGTTAACCAGTTGTAAAAACGGAAGTAGCCTGATTTTTCTCCTCCTCCTCTAGATTCTGACCGGGAAGATGGAAATTACTGCCCTCCTGTCAAGCGAGAAAGAACGTCGTCTTTAACCCAGTTCCCCCCCACGCAGCCAGGTAATGCTCGCACTTAGCGGATGGTGAAACCACGTGTGCTCAGAAACCCACTGCCGTCCTCGTCTCCTGCCCAGATCCAGCCAGAATTAGCCCCAGGCTTGGTCTCCGTCAGGGGTGAGGTTAGAGTTTGCCCACAGTGTAGCAGCAGGTGTACCCTGTCTGCAGTCAGTGACACAATGTGGTGAGACTTCGTGGCCTGAGGGAGACTGTGAAGAAATCGTCCCTCTGGAATGGAGGAAGAGGATTCACTGTTGAGAGCCCTGTTGGGGCCTCTGACCGTTAATTACGTGTCTTCTTTCCCAAGCTGCGGCCACGCTGAAGGTGTAGGGTGGGGTGTTCTCCCGACCAGCGCGTGCCCAGCGTTAGCAATCCAGTGAAAAGGCCCAGACCACAAGTACCCTGGTAACTGGCAGGCCATGAGGTCCCAGCAGAGACCTGGGTGTGATGCTGTGAGCTCCCAGAAGGAGGGGGCTTGGTGAGGCCTGCAGGGGTGGGCCACCCTCAGACTGCAGAAGGGGGTAGGCCTGGCCTGGGCATGTGTATGGAGGTCACCCCAGGGGCTTATACAAAGGCTGGTGCAGAAAGAGGCAGGTTCCTGGGGCAGAGACAGCCGCTGGGGCTACTTAGCGGCAGCTGCCAGCCAGGGGACATCTCTGCAGATTTACAGGCTGGGGACATCTCTGCAGGTCGGACGGTGAACACCACAGGGCTCTTCTCTCTTCCCCATCCTGACTTCCCCACCCGGCACTGTCTCGAGTTCTCTGTCTTAGTTGTCTGTTGTCAGGTGGAGACGCACGTGTAACTAAAGGTTCTCCAGCTACCAACCCGAAAGTCATCCTTGGGAAGTTCATGCAAATCCTTTTATGGTTGTGAACCTTGAGGATATCACTGTAGAGGAGAAAACACTCTCAAAAGTTGTGCTTTCAAAAGTCACGCATACCTTACCGGAATATGCAGTGTAGAAGCCAGAGTCCTTTCACGGTCATCCCTCTGACACACTTGATTTTGTGCCAGTTTCCCTCATTGTTGACTCGGAACGTGGCCACAGCCTTTTTCACGGCTGCGTTAGGTTCCCTACGTGGCTGGGGAACTGTCCGGATGATTTGCAGTCCAGGCTGCAGTGGACATCCTTTCCTTAAGGACCTCTGCACAGGTGGCCAGGTGACTTCTGTGCAGGAGGGCAGGTGTTCCCACAGATGGGAAGCTCCCACCTCCTGGTCATTGGTTTATCCGTCCCCACTCACCGCTCACTTGCTGCATCCAAAGGCCCCAAAGAGAAGAGAGGTGGCCATTTGTGCTGTGGCCTGAACTCAAGAGGTTGGGGGAGTGGGCTGCCAGTCCTTTTTCCTCCCAGGCCTGCTAAAAACCACCTCCCCTCCAGTGCAATGGCACCTAGGAGATACTGAGCTCTCGGTCGTCAGGGGAACTAGGGATGTAAGGGGCAGTGCCAACGTGGAAGGCGTTTTTCACTCTGTCCTCACTGTGCTCAGGCTTAGTTCTCGACCTCTGAGTTCCACTCCTTTGTGGAAGCCTGTTGGTGGCCACACCCCAGGGTCAGTTGCTGGCCTAAAGTAAGATCTTGGGGCAGGGTGGGGGGCAGCCTCCCACACAGTGTGGAGCATCCAGTGCCCTCCGCTGCCCTGCTGGGTGCCCCCGCAGGGGTGTCAGGACAAGACGGGCAGCCCCCAGTAGAAAGGCCGTTGGGTGGAGACCCCATTCTCGATGAGCTGTGGGGTTTGCTTCTATCAGGAAAGTCTGAATGCCTCATTCAGGGGGTGCTGTCCCCTCCCGAGCTGGGGCTTGAGAATCGACCCTGTGTCCACCCCACCTACTCACGCTATTTTTCCTCTTGTTCCCTCCCCTGCCCGCACCTCCTTGCCGACAGTATCAAAAAACAATGTTTTTATGCCATCAACCTTCTGCGAGTCATCTGCAGGCAATTCTGACTCAGAACCAGGTGAGCCCTCGAGTGCCTCTGTCTTCCCGCCGTCCCGGGGGGTTTGCCTGGGAGGAGAAGCAGTTGATGCTTGAAAAATAAAGATCTTCACCAGGAATGGGCATTTTAAACCAGTTCTTTTTTTCAGTTCCTAAGTTTATTTTCCCTTAACTCTTCCGCTCATAAGTTTGAAATCTAACATGAGACAAGGCTTCATGACCCCTCAAATGTCTGTTTCTGTGAGCAGGGCCTCATTGGAAGGAACTTTAAGTCCTAAAAAAAAAAAAACTGTCAAGAGTTGTATTATTCATTTTTCAATAGTTTATACGAGTAATGCATTCATATTGTTTTAAAAAAAAAAGTAAATCAGAAATACATCAAATAGAAAGAATCCCTGCCCCCTTCCAGTACCCCTGCCATGGCAAAAGTAACTCCTGTGACATTTGTGCAATTTTCCAGAGCCCTTTTCTGTGTATTAAATTCTCATATTAATTAATATTGCTTAAGATCTGTTCAGATAAATGTGTTTAATCACAGCTTTAAAACTTTAAGGAAAACAGCTTGATCCCTTCTGAAGAGTATGGAACCTTCCTTTTTTGGTCTTTCACTGGAGAACCAACTCTAAGATTTCCTGAAAGTCTCTCCCACGTGGCTGAAATTCCTCATAAAACATTTAACGAGCAGGTTTAACAACGCGAATTCTGTAACCCAACCTGCCTTATATAAAGTCATTGCTGACTTCAAAAGCTCTGCCAGATAAGTCCTCGCTGGCATGATGTGGATGTCAGGGAAGAGGCGAGTCTTTGTAACTTTCAGGAGTGATTTGATGGCACCATTTCAGACAGGCGAGTTCATTTTGACTCCAGAAGCTGACTGTTCTGAGCTGACCCCTGGCCATGTCCTGCAGAGGAGCTTGGGTTTCGAGGTCCTCAGGCACAGCGCGTTGTCCGTCGTAGCTGTGGTGTCGCTTGGCAGGTGGCTCTGAACTGCCGGGCAGGGCCCGTGGTCCTGGTCCAGATTATCTGTCGCTGAAGCCTGCGTCTCAATCCCTTCACGCTGTCAAGCTCTAGTACGATGTCATGATCGCGTCTGGGGTCTGTGTGTGGCGGCCTCCCTCCCCTCTCTGGCACCTTTCTCTGCTAGTTGAGCAAGTCAGTTCACAAAGTGAACTTCACATCCTTGCCTGTCTGCTTTCCATCTTTTACTTTTAATTCTGAAAAACTTTACCACTTCCAGAATTATGAAGCGCTTCTCCATCCCTTTTACCTGAGGCCTTGACCAAGTTTTCCCCCGGAGTCCCGTGAGTCCTTTAGAGCAAAGGGATTGGGCCTATGTCACGCCGTGCGTGTGTCTCTTTCCAGCAGGAACGCTTCCGCAATCTCCCCTCGACGTTTACACGCTGGCTCTTTCGTGGCAGTCCTTCCGGGTGGGCTTGCCCAGTGCCTCCCGGGGACTAGACCTGGGTTAGGCATCTCAGGTGAGAACAGCACGGAAGTGACGCCGTGTCCTCAGTGTGCACGATGTCCCCTTGCCCCCCTTGCTAGCAGGGCTAACTTCGATCCCTCGATCCGGGCACTGCTGGCCAGGTTTCATCAGGTTAAATTACTTTACTCCACACTTTGTGATGGATATTTTCTGATGAGAGACTTTGAGACTCAGGACAATGCGTTCCCCATCTCACTCCTGCCCTCCAGGTTTTACGTCTGGTCCTGTTTTCTTGCTGGAAGTACTTTTCACTTGGAGGATCACCCCGTGGGATCCTCTGACCCCGCCAGCCCCTGTATCCATGCGCTGGCGTTCTCTGGGCGGAAGAGCTTGCATTTCTCCCTACTTAGTGCGCCTTGATTGATCATGTCAGTAGGGATTGATGGTTCCTGTTTGAGTCAGTGGGATATAATCTCTTATCACTAGTGTTTGTTTTACTGTTCAGGTTGTCCCAGGTTCAGCCAGCAGAGGCCCCATCGGGGGCTTCCTGTGTCCTTCGGCGTGTCCCTGCCACTCCTTTGAGCGCTGCCTTCACTTTGTTACAGCCAGAGGCTCCTGGCTCATCCTCCTTCCTGTCGCAGCCCTGCAGTCTCCTCCGTTCCTCAGAGGGGCCCTGGTTCTCTGTGGTCTTTAGAAAGCAAAATCGGGGGGCTCTGTGTGCTCCCACAATCTCATGGTGCATCCTCGCTCCCAGACCCACAGTGGACAGAGCTGGGGACATGCTCATCTCCCTCTTTGTGGCTCTGTGTCTCCAGAGATGACCTGGAGAACGTGGGTACTGCCAGTCCAGGCCAAGCAGGGTTCTTCTAGCTTCCCCCCGGCGTGTTTCCACCTCTCTTCCCTGACAGCAAGCAACATGACTCACTCCGTCCTTGGTGTGCTACTGTCGCACCCTGCGCCAGCACTGTCCTCGCACAGGCCCCAGCTCCAGCCAGGCTCAGTGTCCAGGGCATGCCAGGTGTAATTCCGGTATACTTTCCTGGTTAAATCGGGGGTTCCCACAGGGTGAGCATTGCTTCCTTCAGACATCACCCATGGAGACACCGCAGACAGGGGCCGGCTTGCTCCAGACTTGTTTGCCAGGAGGGCAAAGGCAGCCCCAGTGGTGCGGGGAGCTGGGGGGCAGACAGCCTCTTCCTCTCCCAAGGGCTGTCCTCCTCCAAGGGATGCAGGTGCCACGGGGAGACATAAGTGCAGCGGCCTGCACAGCCCCAAGCCTCACCTTGACTGTGTGGCAGGAAAAGCAAGTTTCTAGAAGAAATGAGAAGCGACCACCCATGTTTTAGTGGAGTGGGGCCCAAGACAGGGGCCTGTAGAGTTTGGCTGCCCCGAGAGCACACCTCCCTGCTGTCCTGGGCCCCTTCTGTCTCGAGTCCCCAGGTTGCTTTAGAAGTGCAGCATACCTGTCTGTCTGTCCATTCAGTGCGGCATTCAGCTAGGTTTCCTGTGCGGCTGCAGAGTGGGCCACACTCTGCCCCAGCACCACAGGCTGGGCAGTGACAGCAGTCACCCGGGCCTGCCACCCCACTGCGCAGCCCGGGGGCTCCAGTCGGGGTGCGTGTTGCTCTGCGCACAGCAGAGTATAGAAGAGCAATCTACAGCCAAGATGCAAGCGTTGGAAAGCCAGTTCTGAGGGCTTTCTAGAAATTACCTCAATTGTGAATTTAACCTCAGCTTTTAAAGATGTATCTAAATTGCCAGTCATCTTCTGAATAATGCTGTACTTTGGAAATGTAATTCTGTATTTCCTTTCTAAAAAGAAGCATATGTTGGCATCTCTTCCTCTGCATCCTGTGGCGTCTGGTTCTCCTGAATTTGATTTTATGACCGGTGTGTAACGGGAGAGGCACCAGCCCCGCCAGCAGGCTGCTGGGACCCCATCCGGCAGCACAGCCCCTTCCTGCTAACTAGTAATGGGAGTCCTTAGGATCCTGTCATCGCCCGGGGAAAGCAGTGTGACTCCCCAGCACAGCAGGGGAAGTGTCTTTCTGTCGCAAATTCTGCTATGATTTTGCTTTATATCTGAAAGTTCAGCCTGAAAAGGTGTTTTAGGTTTTGTCGTCGTTGTCTTAATGTACAGTGGAATGGTTTTTAATATATCCACAGAGCTATCAATCAACATAATTAATTTTAGAATGTTTCCATCACCCCAAAACAAGCTCCTGTCCCTGTTCCCCATCAGCAGTCACTTCCCAAACTCCCTCCCCCAGCCCCTGGCAGCCCAGAATCCACTTTCAGTCTCTGTGAATTTGCCTGTTCTGGACATTTCATATAAACAGAATCAGACAGTGTGTGACTTTACAGGGTACCTTTACTTTTTTTTTTTTTTTTTTTTTTTTTTGAGACAGAGTCTCGCTTTGTTGCCCAGGCTAGAGTGAGTGCCATGGCGTCAGCCTAGCTCACAGCAACCTCAAACTCCTGGGCTCGAGTGATCCTCCTGCTTCAGCCTCCCGGGTAGCTGGGACTACAGGCATGCGCCACCATGCCCGGCTAATTTTTTTATATATATATCAGTTGGCCAATTAATTTCTTTCTATTTATAGTAGAGACGGGGTCTCGCTCTTGCTCAGGCTGGTTTTGAACTCCTGACCTTGAGCAATCCGCCCGCCTCGGCCTCCCAAGAGCTAGGATTACAGGCGTGAGCCACAGCGCCCGGCCTACTTTTTTGTTTTTTTGTTTTTTTGCCTTTACATTTATTTAAGCCTTTGATTTCTTCCAACAGTGTTTTATAGTTCTTTTGTTGTATTTATTCTCAAGTATTTTAGTGCTTTTTTTGCTATGGTAAAATGGAGTTTTCTTTTTTTTGAGACAGTCTCACTCTGTCACCTGGACTAGAGTGCTGTGGCATCAGCCTAGCTCACAGCAACCTCAAACTCCTGGGCTCAAGCGATCCTAGCCTCCTGAGTAGCTGGGACTATAGGCACGCGCCACCATGCCCGGCTAATTTTTTCTATATATTTTTAGTTGTCCAATTAATTTCTTTCTATTTTTAGTAGATAACAAGGTCTCACTCTTGCTCGGGCTGGTTTCAAACTCCTGACCTTGAGTGATTCTCCCGCCTCGGCCTCCCAGAGTGCTAGGATTATAGGCGTGAGCCACTGCGCCCTGCCAAAATGGAGTTTTCTTGATTTCATTTTTGGATTGTTCAGGGCTGGTGTGTAGACACCCAGTTGATTTCTGCAGTTGATCTGTGCCCTGCATCCTGACAAGGACTGGACTTGAGCGTGACAGCTGGGTTCACAGCTGTGTCCAAGAGGGGCCTGCCTGTGTCACCGGCCTTTTATGACAGTCCTTCCTGTCGTAGAGCAGATCAGACTGCCGTCCCCACCAGTGGGCACAGTCACCAAGACACAGATTACAGGATCCACATGGAAAGGGGGCTAAGCTGAAGCCAGGCTTTCAGGCCATCCCGGGAGCCGCCGTGCACTTACTGTCCTCTTCCAGCTCTGTGTGTGTGTCAGCCCAGACTCTGTCCTGGGGAGACCACCTCCGTACAGGTGGCCAGGGGAGCTCTGTGGCACATCTGGAAAGAGGAAGGAAGCCAGGCACCACAGAAGGCGTGTCTCCTTTCCCAGACATCTGTTGGGAAAAGCACCCTGAGGCTTTTCCCCCGCCACAGACTTGTCCCATAGGAAAGGGACGCAGGTCCTGGGAACCTTGGCTCTGTGGTTCCCGGCATTCTCCAGGGCTGTCCCAGCGCCTGGGCAGGCCGGCAGATCTCAGTGCGCTCGGCCTGCAGCCCGCTGGTCCCCTCACTCTGGGAGCCCAGTGTCAGCACTTGCCCCAAAGGCACCCCTTCCTGCAGCCCCCGCCTCTCCCCCTCCTCCAGGCCGCAGTTGGTCCCTGAGGCCAAGACCAGAGCCCTCTCCTGCCCTTCCTCTCCCAGCCCCGCCCCGCCCCAGGCAGGCCTGCTGTTTTATGCTCTGTCTTGTGCTTTTAGAGGAAAGGAGCAGCGGGTTCCGGTTGAAGCCACCGACCCTGATCCATGGCCAGGCCCCCAGCGCAGGTAGGTCTCCCGCCTGGAGGGAAGGAGAGATGGTTTCCTGACACCTTTCCAGGCCTCTCTGCCCAGCTGCACCCAGAAGCTGGGCTCAGCCTGCGTTCCAGGTCATCCGTGACCTGACCCACACGCCCTGGAAAGCTGCTTTAAAGAGGCAGTTTGACCAGGGAGCGCGGGATCCCTGTCTGTGAGCCCTGCACTCAGAAGAGGCCGTGGCGCAGGAGCAGGCTCAGCCTGGGGGCCAGGTGGACTGTGTGCCCAGCCCAGCACTGTCTCTCCAGAGAGGTCTGCCCCAGCGAGCCATGCCGTAACCCTCGTTAGCAGAGCTGCAGCGCCCAGCGGCTCCCTGCATCGCTGTACTAACTGGATTGATTTGCAGGCATGATCAGTTATGTGGGAATTTCACTTAATCACATATAAAATTAACAGTAGCCAGAATCTGCACGTCTATCTGTAAAGACCTCAGGTTTTTTAGAAAGTTCTTCCCTGCAAAGTCTAGCCTGCGTGGGGCCAGTCTTCTCTGAAGCGCCTGGGGGCCAGGGGTCTTGTGTTTCTGCCAGAGGCCCAGAGGCCCTGAGACAGCCAACTTCCGTCCCCAGGTCTGCCGAGCCAGAAGCCGAAGGAGCAGCAGCGGAGCGTGCTTCGCCCGGCAGTGCTGCAAGCCCCGCAGCCAAAGGCGCTGTCCCAGACCGGTAAGAAACGGCGGCCCTGGCACCTGGGCTCAGACGGCAGGGTAGAGCGGTTCTGAAGTCGCGCCCGGGACAGCGGTGTCGCGACACAGGTGACTGCTGAATGCACCCAGAAATACAGAGAGCTCGGGGAAGGTGATCCTCTAAATGAGCTGCCCCTGCCTGTTCCCTCCAGCCCGCCCTGGTGAGCCCCGAAGAGGGCAGGGAGGCGCTCCACAGCCTCCCCGAAGCTCTGGGCTGAACGTGACCGTGGGTGGAAACCGGCTTGTTCGTTCTCTGTCTCCATAAAAGCCGGCGGGTTCCTGGGAATGTTTAGATTTGCCCCTGCGTGTTTGGGGAGGAAACCTCAGCCTTGTAACTTTGCAGGTCGTCTAAGAGACTCGAAGGGTCCTTTTGGTTAGATGCGCGTTGTCACCCTACCTACCAGCCTGTAGACGGAACTCCTAAACCGAGCTTCCCTCACATCCACAGCGGTGGGGGTTTCCAGCTAGTCCTCAATTTTCTTAATGCTAATGAGCTTTTCTTCCTCTTCATCTTTCCCTGTAATGTCCCATTATTCTCCGGAAGCAACTCAGCATCCAACACTCGGGAAATAGTTCCTATTTCTGAAGGGTTTTTAGTTACATGGGACATTATTTTAATCTAATGCTAAACAGTCAAAGCCAGATTTAAAACAGTGTGTGTCGTATACTCTTAACTACTTACAGGAGGGGAAAATGCATCATCACCGTACTAGTTTAGTAAAACTCAAAGAATTGTCCCCCAGTATATTTTCTTTTTTTTTTATTCTTAGCAATAATGCTTCTTTTTTTTTTTTTGAGACAGAGTCTCGCTTTGTTGTCCAGGCTAGAGTGAGTGCCGTGGCGTCAGCCTAGCTCACAGCAACCTCAAACTCCTGGGCTCGAGCGATCCTCCTGCCTCAGCCTCCCGAGTAGCTGGGACTACAGGCATGCGCCACCATGCCCAGCTAATTTTTTATATATATATATATTAGTTGGCCAATTAATTTCTTTCTATTTATAGTAGAGACGGGGTCTCGCTCTTGCTCAGGCTGGTTTTGAACTCCTGACCTTGAGCAATCCATCCAACTCGGCCTCCCAGAGAGCTAGGATTACAGGCGTGAGCCACCACGACCGGCCTGCAATAATGCTTCTTGACACTGAAAAGTCACGTGGTTCTTTTTCAAATAAAGATATGCTCACTTCCATGAGTTTTTCGGAGTGGGAGTGTTTGTGGATTTTTTAACCTAAGATTTTGTGGCTCTTCGTAGAGACCTGAGGTCCTTCCCTTATAAAGGAGACATTGTACTGCGGCCCACGAGGTAGGAGGGGGCCCTAGACAGGGTCCAGCCCCTCAGCAAGCGGGGATGGGAGGTGCCTCATCGTGATGCCCTGTCTCCTTCCTTCCCCCGCAGTCCCCAGCAGTGGCACCAACGGGCTCAGCATCCCAGCAGACTGCACAGGGGCAGCGCCAGCAGCATCACCCGAAAACCCCGCGCGGAGAAGCCCCTCCGAATCTGCTGACGAGGCGTGCACACTCGAGGTTAGCGGGTCCTGAGCTGGGGGTTGGGGGGCATGCTGGGCCTGCATGGGCGGGAGGGGGCGCTGCTGATTTCATAGACCTGATCCGAGCAGTCTGGACGTGGGGCTGTTGTGAGGCTTCCTGGATTTGCTCAGTGGTCTTAGTGACTAACTGTAACTGACAAACCTAATTACTAAACTGCCAAGAGTGGTCTTTCTCCATCAAAGAAATTGGTGCCACCAGCTGCACTGCCGCAAAGTGTTCCTGCTGGGGGCACCCGAACCACTGCACTCCGGGGAGTCGCTGGGGCCAGAGGATCACCTGTCATTGATGAGTGTCTCGCAGCGTTTCACGAGATGAAACATGTTCCACGCCCAGACATCCCCTTGGGGAGTCGGCTCAGAAACAGTTCATTTAAAGGGGGAAAGTCTTTGGGGATGTAGGCCTTAGGCAGTGTGTTCACGGCCGCTGTAAATAAGGGCATGTGCTGAAGAGCTTGCTGCCAGGGTTGGCAGAGATGGGTTTGGAATCAGTTGAAACACGGACGGGTCTTCCGGTTGAAGGCCAGACTGGATCTGTGTGCCTGTTCTCTGCTCTACCCATTTCAGTGGCCTGCAGATTTATACCCTCCACCCCCAGCAGAAGCCGGGGCTCCATGGTGGAAATGGCCATCTATAATCGGAATCTAAACCATCACTGAGGGCCACCCCTCCCCGCTTTAAACTACAGTTTGCCGAGTTGGAAATACGGGTCACTTCACTGCTTGCTTCTGCTTAGGAACTTTGGTAGCTGGGGTCTCCAGGGTGCAGGCAACTCAGGTGCATGGTTTTGAGTTGGAGGGAGACCTAGAAGTGACCCAGCCCATCCCATCCTCCTCCGGCGCTCCCAGTGGCAGGTACATGGGCCAAGTGGGCAGCACTGGCTGCCGAGAGCTTGAACCTCGCTTGGTCCCCATCTGCCTGCATCACTTCCCTGTTGGTTGTAGCCCTTCCTCAGCAGTGCAGACAAGCGTGTTCTCTCAAGTCCCTGGGCTCAGAGGTCAGGCCTTTCCACTTCCACTATCCCTTCATCAGGCCGGATGGCCCTGGTGGCTGGAGTTAATTTCCACGCCTCACGGTCTCCTAGCAGCCGCTCCCAGCGCCCGGGTCTGTCCCTCCCAGGATCCCGTGTCTGGCTCCAAAGCCAGTGTTCCACATGGGTCTGGGATGGAGCCACACACGCCACACCCCCGTCTGCAGCTTTGCATGTGGCAGGCGCCCAGACTGAGGTCACACGCATGCTGTCTTATGACCACCCAGTTCTGCTGAGATTTTCAGGGCTAGCCACACCCGCCGTTCTCTGTCCTTGAGGCAGCCCAAACAGGATGTTTGCCCTTCCCTGCTGCCCACGAACATGGCACATGCTGGCATGGTACCCATCAGCGTGGGTACCATGAGCTTAGGGGCTGGGGCCACCCAGGAGGAGCCGCCATTATTAGAGGTTAGAGTTCAGGTACTTTCCTTGGAAAAATAGGGAAGAGCCATGCCCCCCTCCCCCACACACACACACAGTGAGACTGATTATAGACCTCAGGATTTGCTTCTTAGTTTAATTAAAGCCTTTACAAGGCCCCACCATGTCATGGACATGCTCTGCGATCAGAAACAGTTTGCTGCCTGCGTCCCCCACCTCAGGTGACCCTGTGGGCTCTGCCTACCGGGAATAGCCCCAGTCAGAGGGTGAACAAGGAGCACACAGAAGCCAAAGGCTAGACGCATGTTTCTTCTAGAAGCGTGTCCCCGTGCTCTGCAGTGAGACTGGGTATTGGCCTGTCCTCTAAGGACTCCCAGATGGCCAGACACAGTGTGTATTTGATTTTAAAAGGCAACGTTCACTCTTGCACGGGCGTGAGGCTGCAGTGTGAAGGCGACAGCAGCATTTATAGGGGACACAGTAGAGACACACCGAAACTCTGCACAGGTGGACCAGAAAGTGGACTTTGTGCTGTGACCCACCCATCCTGGGGCTGGTATTTTAACTCTAGTCTTCCCTGCCTGGTGGCAGCACCGAGCGGCATCGGGGCTGTCTGCAGCCTTTCTCACCCTGGGCTCCGGGTTCTCAAGTCCCTTCTTTTTTTTTTTTTTTTTTTAGTCCATCTGTGACTGAGATATTAAATTCGTTTTCAAATCATACAGCAGCTCTTATCATGTAGTATAAGAAAAACATCTATGAAGTACTCAAAACTCCGTGTCCCATTATCCCAAGATAAATGAATTTGTTCCTAAAATGTTAGTTATGCAAGTCAGACCTGCATTTTAAAAATATTTAAGTAGGCCGGGCACGGTGGCTCACACCTGCAATCCTAGCACTCTGGGAGGCCGAGGCGGGTGGATTGCTCGAGGTCAGGAGTTCAAAACCAGCCTGAGCAAGAGTGAGACCCTGTCTCTACTATAAATACAAAGAAATTAATTGGCCAACTAATATATATAGAAAAAATTAGCCAGGTATGGTGGCACATGCCTGTAGTCCCAGCTACTCGGGAGGCTGAGGCAGGAGGATCTCCTGAACCCAGGAGTGTGAGGTTGCTGTGAGCTAGGCTGGCGCCACGGCACTCACTCTAGCCTGGGCAACAAAGTGAGATTCTGTCTCCAAAAAAACTCCTGGCCTCCAGCAATCCTCCCGCCTCAGCCTCCCAAAGTGCTGGGATTATAGGCTTCAGCCACCGCACCCAACAGGGACTTTTTTATACCAAAAACAAGTATGATTCCAAGCAAACATTGATTAAAAGCCTCTCTGTAAAACAGCCATCCCTGAAGGGGTCGCTTGGCCTCAAGAAGACCCAGTTTCTGTCGGAGCCCTGGATAATCCGGGTGCTGTGGGCCCCGGAGCCCCACAGGGTGCAGGTCCCAGTCCTCCTGGGCAGGCTGCCCGTCTCGCCCCTGCTGCAGTCAGGGGAGGCAGCTGCAGGGCCCGAGGCCCCACTGAAGCAGCAGGTGGCCCCAGAACTGCCCTGTGGCTTCCAGGCATCCAAACCCTTCCCTTTGTGCCACCCCCATGTGTCTAAAGCAAAGCCACGTGCCTGGGAAGGCGGCAGCAGCTTGTGGTTGATGATCTGGCGCCTCTTCTCCCAGAGCCCCGCCCAGGGAACCTTTATCCCGGGCTGCTGACAAGGCTGGTCCTGGGACAAGTCTCAGGCTGTCCCTCGCCTGGGGACCCGTGCCCAGGGGAGGAGTGGAGTAAACAGGGTCGTGTGGGACGATCGCCTGCCCTGCTTATCTGGCTGAGTGTGTCACCTGTAATTGGTTATTGTGTTTTGGATTTGTTTTGTTTTTAATAGGAGAAAGAGCCCCAGAAAAATGAGTCTAGCAATACTTCCGAGGAGGAAAACTGTGAGAAGAAAGAACAAGCTGCACAGCAAGCCTTTGTATTTGGGCAGAACTTGCGAGACAGAGTTAAGGTATGTGATGGCGTGTGGAATGGGCTGGTGCACTAATGAGGCTTTTTTTTTTAATGCCTCCCCCAGGTTACACAACAGGAAAACCAGTAGACTTTCCTTTCAGAATGGGGGGACACAATGTGTCATCTGGTGGCTCTGTGACTCATGGCACAGCCAGCTGCTGCTCTGCGAGCTTTCCATACTCCCCACGCCCGCCAGGCTGCGGTGTCCCCACCTGTAGCGGCTTCTCAAGGCAGCTCCCTTGTGCTCCCGGGAGCGGGGACACAGAGGCAGCCACACGTGCTCAGCCCTGGGAACTGACGCTTCCCAGTGGAGAACGCAGACAGCACGATCCGGTGCTTTCCACGTTGCCGAGGAGGCTTGTGGCCCCTCGTGTCAGGGTTTCTCCATCTCAGCAGCAGCCACGTTCGCACCAGCTGTTCTTGGCTTTCTGAGGGGCTGTCCTGGGCACTGCAGGTGCTGAGCAGTGTCTGTGGCCCCCACCCACTCCGTGCCGGCAGCACCCCTTTCCTCAGCCATGACAGCCACAGATGTCGCCAAGTGTCCCCTTGGGCCTTCCCTCCACAGGGGCTTGTGGAGGACACAGCCTGGCCCTTAGGGTGACTAAGGGACAGAATCGCTCCAGTTAAGAACCATCACCTTGTGGGAGGCAATACTGTTTTCTTTCCTACAAGGCAGCAAAGTAGCTGTCGCCTCCTGGCTGCCCTGCGGGTGTGATGGTCTAGTCTAGAAACTTGAGTCGGGATCAGGAAAGGCTGGCAGGGGTAGGCAACATCCCTGGACCCATGCCCTGAGGCTCTGGGAAGACCAGGGTTGGACAGTGCTACCTCTCTCAGCCACAGGCATGGAACCTTCCAGCAGCTCATCTGGCAAGAAGCCTCCTTAGAAGCCTGAGAGGCAGTAGCATGGCCTTGTGGGGAGACATCTGTGGCTGTCACAAGCAGGGGGCACTCCGGGTGTGGCATGGGTACAGGCCAGGGATGCCACTCACCATCCTACAGTGCTCGACAGTACCGAGGGGGAGGAGCCTGAGACTCCTCTGTAAAGCAGCCATCCCTGAAGGGGTAGCTCGGCCTCAAGAAGACCCAGTTTCTGGCCAGGTGCGGTGGCTCATGTCTGTAATCCTAGCACTTTGGGAGGCCGAGGCAGGCGGATTGCTCGAGGTCAGGAGTTCAACACCAGCCTGAGCAAGAGGGAGACCCCGTTTCTACTATACATAGAAAGAAATTAATTGGCCAACTAATATATATAGAAAAAACTAGCCGGGCATGGTGGCGTGTGCCTGTAGTCCCAGCTACTAGAGAGGCTGAGGCAGGAGGATTACTTGAGCCCAGGAGTTTGAGGTTGCTGTGAGCTAGGCTGATGCCATGGCACTCACTCTAGCCTGGGCAACAAAGCGAAACTCTGTCTCAAAAAAGAAGGCCGGGCGCTGTGGCTCACGCCTGTAATCCTAGCTCTTGGGAGGCCGAGGCGGGCGGATTGCTCAAGGTCAGGAGTTCGAAACCAGCCTGAGCAAGAGCGAGACCCCGTCTCTACTATAAATAGAAAGAAATTAATTGGCCAACTGATATATATATAAAAAATTAGCCGGGCACGGTGGCACATGCCTGTAGTCCCAGCTACCCGGGAGGCTGAGGCAGAAGGATCACTCGAGCACAGGAGTTTGAGGTTGATGTGAGCTAGGCTGACGCCACGGCACTCACTCTAGCCTGGGCAACAAAGCGAGACTCTGTCTCAAAAAAAAAAAAAAAAAAAAAGGAAAAGAAGACCCAGTTTCTGTCAGAGCCTGGATAATCCAGGTGCTGTGGGCCCCGGAGCCCCACAGGGTGCAGGTCCCAGCCCTCCTGTGCAGGCTGCCCATCTCGCCCCCGCTGCGGTCAGGGGAGGCAGCTGCAGGGCCCGAGGCCCCACTGAAGCAGCAGGTGGCCCCAGAACTGCCCTGTGGCTTCCAGGCATCCAAACCCTTCCCTCTGTGCCACCCCCATATGTCTAAAGCAAAGCCACATGCCTGGGAAGGCGGCAGCAGCTTGTGGTTGATGATCTGGCGCCTCTTCTCCCAGAGCCCCACCCAGGGAACCTTCATTCCGGGCTGCTGACAAGGCTGGTCCTAGGACAAGTCTCAGGCTGTCCCTCACCTGGGGACCCATGCCTAGGGGAGAAGTGGAGTAAACAGGGTCGTGTGGGACAAGGAGACCCCCTCCCTGGCGCTGATTCGTGTTTTCTGCTTCTTCCTCTGTTACTCACTGTCCACCGGATTCGAGAACCACTGAGAGACACGGAGAATAGTGTGTCGGTGTTGCCACGGCTTTCAGCCCAAATAATGAGCCCCTCGGGGACTGTTCCCTCTAGAGAGGAGAGCAGGAGGTGGAGAAGGGCTTGGCCCTTTGAGTCTGTGCCTCGATCTTGGGGGAACAGCTGCTTTGACGTTGGGGTGTGGTTGGCATCTGACAGGCCAAGGGTCCACACAGTGAAATCCAGCTTCCCCATCGCGGGCACGTCTGAGCCGCGGGTTCTCAGCCGGCAGCCTCTGCTTCCGTGCTTGTCCTATAACATGCACCGCCCAGGGTTCCGGGAGCATTCAGTTAGAATATGTATTTAACGGACTTGGCATGGCAGTTAGCATAAAAGAAGCCCTCAGGAAATGATGCTTTTATGTGTTTACAATAAACCCCTTTGTAGGCATTCTGTGTTCTCGGTGCAGAGGCACTGACAAAACACCAGCTAGATGCCAGGTGGAGGGTGGGTTTTTACTGCAAGGTAGGAAAAAGCTCCCTGCTGCTCTGTATGTGCTTTGTTGTTAGCTGCTAAAAGCAAGAAGTGGTGGCGATGACCATGGCTCCACCCCCAGTACACACTTGGCGCACACACAGGCATGTGTACACGTGTGAGTGTGGGGGGTGGGGGAGAACACACGAGGGGGTTCATGTCCGGCAGACCAAGCTGTAGCGTCCCAGGCCCTGCCACTGTCTGAGTACTAAGTGCTGTCTCTGCTCCCAGCTAATAAATGAGAACACTGACGAAGCCGACATGGAGAACGCCGGACACCCCAGTTCAGAAACGCCAACTGCAACAAACTATTTCCTTCAGTATATCAGTTCCAGGTGTGTGTCTCAGGCCTGGTGACCGTGTCGCCGAGGTGGGACAGGTATCTGGGGAAGGCCCCAGCCACAGGGGGCCCTCGGTCACTGGACCTGGGAGCCTTGGCACCTGGCTTCTGACCAGGAGCCACCAAGAGTGGGGGAAGCAGATGCTGTTGGGATCTTGGGATCCCAGGTGTGGCCAGGCCATGAGGGTGGGCTTGGCCCTGGGATTCAGCAGACACCTGAGGTGGGACCAGAGTTCTGTGAGGTTGTCCAGGGGCGTGTGGAGAACACAGCCTGGCCTTTGGGGTGACCTCTGTCATACAGACCTTGTGCCCAGAGCAGACCTGAGTGGGCCAATGGAGGCTCATTTGCCTCCTGTCAGCCGCAAGGTTCCAGCACCATGGGGACCCCTCACTCTTGGTGTGGGCACTTGGGCTGAAGACCCCACCTTGTCCTTGCTGGCCCTGCTGGTAGCGGGGCTCACCCACAGCCCGGCCACGCCTCCAGGTATTTTAGGAGAAAGTGTGTCCTGCCTAGGAAACAGGCTGGCAGAGCGGGTAGCACGTGGGCTTTCCTTGTGCCTTTGGGACCCTCCATCAGGACAAGCTGTGGGTCCCTATTTTCATCTGGCGCAGTGAGGCACAGAGGCGTGTGGGCCCCGTCTCTGGCACACACAGCGAGGGAGGCGTCCGGGCTGTGCCCTCTGCGCTGGTGCCCGTGTTCGTGTGTTGCATGCAGGCGTGCGTGTTTCCCCGGCCGCGCCCCCCCATGCCGCACGCTCACCACTCGGCTTCTCTTCAGTTTAGAGAATTCGACCAACAGTGCCGACGCCTCCAGCAACAAGTTCGTATTTGGCCAGAACATGAGCGAGCGAGTCTTGGTGAGTGGCCACGTTGGGACTGTCCCCGGAGACCAGCGGCTCCAGGTCGAGGGGATGTGGGGAGCAGGACTGCCGTGTTGTCTCTTGCGGAGTTGGGGTGCTCTCGGTTGCAAGTAAGACAAGAAAGACCCAGCTCAGACTCTGCTGGGAGACACCGGCCAGCCCACTGGCTCTGGTGGCCCTGAAGCCACTGTATCCCAGGGCGGTTTGCTTCCCCTGAGGCTGCGGTCAGGGGCTGTCCTGGTGCTCAGGGGTTGCACTTCCTCCCACCGGGCCTGCTGGGACTGCAGCCATCAGACAGAAATCTTTAGTCACCTGCTACTGGACCAGCCTGAGCCCATCTAGAGTCAGGAGAAGCTTACCCCACCCAGACCAGCTATGCCAGCTGGCAGGGCTGTGGCCTCCCTACTCCTGTGTCCACACACCACAGCCAGGGACTCAGGTGCACAAAAGGGCTGTGTCCACTCCCAGAGAACCCAGCCAACCTGGGAGAGGGTTCTAGAATGACTTGCCTACTTCCTTAAATTTTTTCTTTTTTCTTCAATTGACTGTGTGGGCCACCTAACCAGTGCCATCTTTGTCTCGCTTTATTCTAAATTAATGAGCCTCCTGCTTCTCTTCTCTGGCATCAGTACCACCCCTTTTATACTACAATGAAATAGTCAAAGACACCTGACACATGCTGCCGTGCGAATAAGGTGACCAGTGCAGCCCAGGGTGCCTGTCGGCTGGTGGCACCCACCTCCTGGCGTCACCTGCAAGACCACACTCAGGTGTTCTGAGGCCGTCTGGGACAGTGCAGGAGCAGCCTGTGGGATCTGCCCCACATGCGGCAAGAGGGGGAGTGCGTGGCATCGGGGTGGGCATAGAGGTGCCCAGAGCTACTGTCCCAGCTCAGGGGCCGTCCATTCTGCAGCAGTTTGTCTGCCAGGACCACACAAACACGCCCTCCTCCCCACGTGTCTTCGTCTCCCTGCAGAGCCCCCCAAAATTAAACGAGGTCAGTCCAGATGCCAACAGAGAAAACGTGGCTGCTGAGTCTGGGTCTGAGTCCTCTTCCCAGGAGGCCACCCCCGAGAAAGGTACGTTCCAGTCCTGCTGCTCCGTGGTGTGGGGGTGATGAGTGACGCAAGGGAACACTCTGTCCATCCACGCCCCACCGGGAGGGATGAGGAGACCGACTCTCCCCGCAGTAACAGCCACGTGTGAGCCAGCTACTGAATGGTTGAAAAGCAGTGGCCGTGGCCTTCAGGGCTCTGCGCTGCAGGGAGCAGAGACAGGTGTTCATGTTAAGGCACATGAGGGCATGAGTCTCTGTGCAGCAACAGGGAGGGTGGCAAGGCACGGGCACGGGAGAGTCTGTCCCCTTCCTGTCCGCTGCTGCATGGGAAGTGGGGATCCAGGGCCACGCCTGGCAGCTCCTGGGCAGTCTCCCTGTAGATCCTGAGGCTGCCCTGGCCTGTCTCCAGGGTCCACTCAAGCCACCAGGTCTGGCTTTCCAGGGGTAGCCAGTGTCCTTTGAGCCAGAGCCACCCTCTCGGTCTCCTGCAAGCTACATGCTTTCCCCTCACCAAATAAGTAGTCAGTCTCCTTTAGCCAATAACATTTCAGAGTCCCTGGCCGAGTCGGCAGCTGCGTACACCAAGGCCACAGCACGGAAGTGTTTGTTGGAAAAAGTGGAAGTCATCACCGGGGAGGAGGCGGAGAGCAACGTGTTACAGGTGAGGGGGCCGCAGACCTGGGCCCTGCCCGGTCCTCTCTGACTTTGGTCACACCCCAAGGACGGGGCCTGCAGCCCTGGGACCAGGCCTCCCCTGTGAGGGCCGTTGGCCGCACCCTGGGGCCTTGTTGGGGGCTTTCGTGGAGAGCTTAGCCCAGGCCAAGAGGCTTCTTGTTTTGGTTTTAGAGTAGGAGGATCTGTTTTGACACACTCTTGATGGTTCAGGAGATGACAAAGTCTATCAAGACAAACACCTTCGTCTTGTCATCCACAATTAGCAGCAGTGACTATTTTGTCACCCTGTGCTGTCTCAGTAGGGAAAAGTCAGATGCAGCCAGAGCTTCCACCCCACACTCCCATCCACTTCTCCCTCCTCTTCCTCCTGAGGCCACACCTCGAGAGCCGGGTGGGTCTGGTGGGCAGCGTCCGTCTGCTTCCTTTCCTTGGACATGTGCAGATGTGTCGCGTCTATAAACCATGTAGAGTGCTGTGGAATTTTAATAGTACTGCTTTTTCCCACTCACCACTGCTGCTTAATGTAGCCATGTTGAGAGAGACTGACAGAGGGGTCTGCGCTTTCTGTGAAGAAGGACATATGGTCTCTGTCACATATTTTTCTTTTCTTAATACATACAAAACAGCTTTATTGAGGTGTACTGCACATACTGTATAATTCACCCTTTTAAATTGTGCAATTTAGTGGATTTTAAGTATATTCATAGAACTGTACAACCATCACTACACTCTAATGTTGAGCATTTTTGTCCCCCAAAAAAGAAACCCCATCCCCCTCCCCCAGCCCCTGACGACCACTAATCCACTCACTCCCTGCCTCTGTGGATCTGGCTGTCCAGGACATTCCATGGGAGTGGCATCACGCACTGTGTCCCGTGTCTGGCCTCTCACTCGCATAAGGCTCTCAGGGTTCATTCGTGCTGTAGCCCGTGCCAGAGCCTTGTTCTCTTTTATGACTGAACAGTTTCATTGTAAGGATAGACCATTTGTTTATCGTTTCATTGGGTGATATTTGGCATATTTCTACTTTTTGGCTATTACGAATCATGCGGCTGTGAACATTTGTGTACACATTTCTGTGTGAACACATGTTCCGTTTCTCTTGGGTAGATCCCTGGGAGTGGAGTTTCCGGGCCACGTGGTGACTCCACGTTTAACTTTTTGAGGACCCGCCAGGCTGTCTTGCCGGCGGCGGCCGCACCGGTTTCCGTTCCCACCGGCAGTGAATAGGGCCCCTGTCTCTCCACGGGGTTGCAGGGCAGAGTGGCCTCTGGCTGCCACCCCGTTTGCTTTTCTTCTTTTTCCAAATACCCCTTTTAAAATGTAAATCCTAGTCTAGCTCAAGGGCAGGACACAAAACTGGCCAAGGGCCAGGTGTGGCCCCCAGGCCATCGTTTGCTGGCCCTGGTGGTCCACGCAGGTCAAAGGTGAGGTGTGGGTTAGATATGGAGACTCTGCTCTCGGGTCCGTCCTCAGCAGGACACCCGGCCAGGGCCCCGCTCACCCAGAGGCCCCGCGTGTGTTCCAGATCCAGTGCAAGCTGTTTGTCTTCGACAAGACCTCGCAGTCGTGGGTGGAGCGAGGACGGGGGCTGCTCAGACTCAACGACATGGCGTCCACCGACGACGGCACGCTACAGTCCCGGCTAGGTGAGCTGCCTCGGGCTCCTGGAAAGGGCTGGGGACAGCCAAAGGGAGCCAAGGGGGACAACCCAACTGGTGCTTGTCAGGGCCGAGGAACAGGGTAGCCGTCCCCACGGGAGAGCCCTGGACACAGCCCCGCCTCCCTTCGGCTCCCAGCCTGGCCTTCACCCACGGGCCCTGCGGCCCCTCCGTGACTCACTCAGTGTCGAAGTGCATGAAAGTCTTCAGAAATTTTTAAACTGATTTTCCGACAGTAAAAGTGGTAGTTTTATGGAAGAAAGGAGAGAGAAGAACTCGAACATGAACTATGATCTTTTTATGAGGATCCAAATCCTTGCTGATAATATTTCGGCAGTCCCTTCCTCCTGTTTGTGGTCCTTTTTTAAGGAAATAGGGTTGATTTTTATCCCGCTCTTCTCACTTGCTATTTTGTGAGCATCTTCCCAGGTTGTTATTTTCTCTTCAAAATAACGATGGCTTTTGAAAAACTTCAACATTCTGTTGACATTAATGGGCTTTTCTCTACTGACAGACGTTTAGGCTCTTCCTGATTTTTTTACTGTCATAGATGACGCTACTAGGGCCGTCTTTGTACGTGAACCTTATTCCCACAAACAGACTCGTTATAAAATGAGAGTGTGCGTGCGTGAACACGTGAAGAACATCACGTGTGCGTGACTGCTTCCATGATGTGCGTGTCCATCTTTTTGTCTTCCCCGAAGCGTCTCTCGCCCTTTGCAAAAATGTGGATTTCGGGCCCAGCAGTACCGGGTGGCCCCTTTGAAGCGTAGTTTTCACCCACCTTGACTCAGAGACACTCCCCATGTGGGGACAGAGACAAGGACAGTCCCTCCAGGCCGGGCACTGCTCTTTTCCTCCCTGAGTGTATCCTCTTCCTCTGCTTTTCTTCTTTCTCATGGAAACAGTCAAATGTGTGTGAACGGAGAGTGTGTAGTACCCTGTGTCCCTGGGTCATCGTGCCGTGGCAGCTGTCCCCTCCCGCCACAGCAGTCTCGTGGAGGAGCTTCCAGCCCTCCCAGGCCTGTTCCAGTGGGCAGAGGCAGCCGACGGGAAGGGTGGATGAGCGTCAAACACGCCGGAGAGGCTGGCTGTCCCGTTCCCCCCAAGAGCTGCTGCCCCTGGTCTCCCAGGCCTCCCAGGTCTCCCAGCTCCCTCTTGAAGGAAGCTCTGAGCAGCGGCCTTACCCTTCCTCGCTTTCAGTGAAACCAGAGAATGAGCACGGGCCTCAGCCCGGCTGGGGACAATCGGGAGGGCATGGACTCCGGTTGTGACAGATGTCACACGCAGAACACATGCGTCATAAGTATGCAGCCCCCGCCTCTGGTAGCCACCTCGTGCTCCCATCTAACCCCTTCCCCAAGGGCACCCCTGTTCGGGTGCCACCTGTGTGGACCATACAAACCCTCCTCGACCTAGATGTAGCCAATGCATTGCCAGCCTGTGCGGCCACCACCCACCCATGACCTTTAGGCCGCCAGGGCTGGGGGAGACACAGCCCACCCCAGGGAGCAGGGTGGTGCCAGGGCTGGCCCCAAGGCAGCAGGGTCCTGAGAGTCATGGGCTTATGCCCGGTGATGTTCTCAGAACCGCCGATCGGGAGGTGGGCGGGCGGGACTGCGGTTCACTGGCTCCCGGTTGCAGTGATGCGGACCCAGGGCAGCCTGCGGCTGATCCTCAACACCAAGCTGTGGGCTCAGATGCAGATCGACAAGGCCAGCGAGAAGGGCATCCGCATCACGGCCATGGACACCGAGGACCAGGGCGTGAAGGTCTTCCTGATCTCGGTGAGCCGCCCCCCACACACAGCCCTGCACGGCCACTGGCCCCTATGGGGAAGGAGTGGCCGGCACAGCTCCCTGCCGAGGGCAGCGCTCCTGTGAGCTGCCGGGAAGCGAGGCTGCACCCCACGTCCCACCAGCCGCATGGAGGCTGCTGGGCACACGGGGCACCGTGGGTGTCGCTGGGGTGCTGCTCTGAGTGCAGAGGTCGGGGGAGCCTCCTGGCCCATCCCTCAGCACGCCAGGTGGGGAGGGGTGGGGGAGAGCGGGAGGGCCTGTCCCCAGAGCAAGTGGGCTGAGATGGCAGAAGAGAGTCTGCAGTGGCATCCCCTAGCGAGACCCCCAGGGCCATGCAGGTGGCAGCACTGGGAAAAGCTAGAGCCCAGGCCCGGGGTGAGCCTTGGAGATGGGGGGCTTCAGTCCACTGCAAGGCAGGGTAGGGGTGAGGGGAACAGGGAACGGGCCTCGGTTGCTGCCTGGGACACAGGGCTGGATTCTCCCACTTGCTGTGGGCCCCCTCCGGTGCCAGCCCCTAGGAGCTCAGATCCAGGCTGGCGTCCTCTCCCGGCCCAGAGAAGCCGTGGGGGCGTCACTGGGGTGCAGTGAGGTGTTCAGAGCAAACGGCCCCATGGGCAGTCACCTCTGTCCTGTGTCGTGTGGAGGAATGACAGTCATATCCACCAGCCGTGACCTCTGGGCCACAGGCCAGCACTGACCTGCTTGACCCCCAGCGCCCCAGGATCCTCCCAGCCACCTGGGGGTGGTGGCATCCCTCGGTCTTCCCCTCGAGGCCTCGTGGACGCCTCCGAGCCTCGGGACCTGGCACTTCCGCTTCCGTCCCAGGCAGGAGGGAAGAGGACTGGGGTCCCAGGGGCCTCACAGCCCCTGCCTCCCCCAGGCCAGCTCCAAGGACACAGGCCAGCTGTACGCAGCCCTGCACCACCGCATCCTGGCCCTGCGCAGCCGCATGGAGCAGGAACTGGAGGCCAAGATGCCAGCCCCCGAGCCTGGGGCAGCCCCGTCCAACGAGGAGGACGACAGTGACGATGACGACGTTCTGGCTCCCTCAGGGGCGACCGGAGCTGGTGAGCCGGGTGGTCCCTGCCCTGGGGGACTCGAGGGGGCTGGTTTGGTCCCCACCAACTGCGGCAGGGGTGGCCTGACCCTGGGAGGCGGGCCTGTCCAGGGAGGCCAGAGGGTAAGGCCGCTGCTTCCCACAGGTGCTGGCGACGAAGGAGACGGGCAGACTGCCGGGAGCACATAGCGGCCGGGCCGGCACCTCGGGCTGCCGCTTCGTCCGGCTGTCGGCCGCCCACCCCTCCCCGCAGGCAGCGCCGAGGGGCCGGGAGCCACTCCCTGCTGGGTCGGCCACAGTCCGGATCCGCAAGTCCTGTCCGAAAGCAGACTTGGGAACTGCCTGAATGTGGTTTGGGACACGAGACCTCATCATATTGATGAGCAAAACAAAAGAACATTTCTTCCCTCCCCTCCTTTGAATTGAAATGGCACATTAAGGCTTGTCACGGCTTCTCACTGGGACTGGAGACCTCATTCCTTCATCCCTCGTGTCGTGTCGCGAGCCTCTGCGTTCCGCCAGAGCCTCTGGCCTCGCCGCTGCCCACGCCCCACATGCTGCGGGTCCTGCCCCACCCGGGGCGCCCACCCTCCCGGGCAGCCCGGCGCGGCCGCTCTCGCAGCGCAAACACTGGGCCAGACGGACGTTCTGTTAACCGCTGTCTTCACTTCCCGTTCCCGTGCTCTGGTCGGGGGTTTATATTTTACAGATCTTTTTTCTTTTTATTTTCAAAGGCTTTGTTTTTGGTTTCTTAAATTGACATGCTCGGGAGCACTGAGCAGGCGCAGCTGCGTTGAGCTCCCTGTTCCCTCTGTGGTCCTAGCCTCTGAGGTGAGGGGTCAGGCTGCTGGGGGGACAAACCCCCACTTGTTTTCCGCCCAGGTTTGGCCACCATAGGGTGCCGAGGGGTTGGGCCATAGGGTTCAGCCACTTGTTTCAGCCACCATAGGGTGCCGAGGGGTTGGGCACCCTTTGTCTGGAAAAAGGTCCCTGGACCTGGCAGGTCCCCCACCCTCCTCGCTGTCCACGTCACGTGGCTCACCCATCATCAGGCACCCAGGAGCAAACCTGCTTCCTGCTGTTGGCCATTCCCTCCCCAGCCTCAGACATCACTGTCCCCAGGACCGTCCGGGGCCAGGGGCATCTGTGAGACGCAGAGGAGGACCTAGGCAGGCTTGGCGGAGGGGGCAGGGGCTGCCCCAGGCCACAGGCCGTCTGTCCTCCACCGCACAGCGCACACAGCAATGGTGCCTGTGCCCACCCCCGCGTCAGAGCGTGGCCAACTGCCAGCCCGGCACCTTCCTCCCGGGAAGGCTATGGAGGAGGTCCCCGTGCACGGGGCCTGCTCGGGACTTCAAAGGGGACCACCCAGCCCTACCCTCGAGGGTGAAGAGAAGGCCAGTCCTGCCTGCAGCTGTGCCGCCCACAGCTGGGGTTGGCCCGAGCCCTCGGCCGGGCAGCGGCACTGCCCAGCCCCAGCGAGCCCGAGCCTGGGAGGACACCGGAGGCCGACACCAGAGGCCCTCCTGAGAGGCCCAGTCACACTTCTCTGCTTTAAGCCTTAGCCAACTAGTGACAAGTAAAACCAGATAATGCCCATGTGTTTTGGAACATTTATGTAAGATTGTCATATGAAATGTATTTGGGAACTACATTAAACTTTTAACTAAAACTCTGGCCTCCCGCACGCCCCAGGGGCCTCAGGAGGCCAGAGGGCCTGGCCCCTGCCTCGTGCTCCACACCTGGGCAGGTGTCCCCACTCTGCCTCCCAAGGCTGGCCCCCTCCACACAGCCTCCCCCAGCAGGGACGCATGGGGAGGGGTGGGGCACTTCAGCGGGGCATCCGCAGGGCTGCAAGGCCCCAGGTGAGCAGACTGTGGGCAGGGCGAGCCTTTCTCCCTGGGGTCCTGAGCCAGTGACCCTGTTAGAGCCTTTGTCCCCCCTCCGCCTGGTGGCCTGGCAGGGACCCGGTCTAGCCGGTTCTGCAGCCTCAATTCCACCTCCCCCAGCCCTGTCACAGTGTGCTGCTCAGCTCCAAGCCCAGGTGAGGAGGGTCCTGGCTCAGGTGTGGGGGAGGGGTATGTGCCCGGGTGGCACAGCCCAGCCCCGTGCTGCTCACAGCCGCCAGGCGCTGGTCACCATGGCCACGAACTCTTCATCTGTGTCCACGGAGGCGCTCACACCTCTGTAGTAGTCCTGGAATTCTGCCAGCGTGACCTGGGGACACAGTAGGTTTTAGGGGGAACCTGAGGCCAGGATGGGCCGCCCGGCTGGAGGTGGGGCCCCGAGGGCCACCCACCTGCCCATCCTTCTCGGAGGAGTCGAAGTTGTCCAGGAAGCGGCGTAGCACCTCGTCCTCGGTCCACTCCCCACTCCGCACCTTGGGGTGGGCACGGCCACTGTACACCCCGCGGAGGTCGTCCACCGTCACCACGCCATCCCCGCTGCGGTCCAGCTTGGCAAACGCGGCTGCAATGACTGCCTCCCGGGCCTGGGACATGGGGGGCTGGGGGAGAGGTGCTGACTGGGGTTGGAGGGTGGCAGGTCTCCCCGCCCTGCCCCCCAGACGGCACATGCCGAGTGCTGGGGCTGTCACCCCTGAGTAGGTGCCTAACAGCAGCGCTCGGGGATGGGCCCCTCAGTGTCACGTCTCGGACACCCACACCCAGAGGACACGACTGGGCCGAGGTGGGGCCTCACCCGCAGTGCCCGCAGGAACTCCTCCAGGTCCAGCGTCCCGCTGCCGTCGCGGTCCCAGCGCCTGCACACGGCCTCGGCCTCCGCCTCCCCCAGCGCCAGCCCCAGCTCGGCCAGGCCCCGCCGGAGCTCCCCCGCGTCCAGGCGTCTGTTCCCATCCCGGTCCAGGCGGCGGAAGAACCTGGGGGGCAGGAGACGAGATTGGACGATGGCCACGGGGCTGGGGGTGGGGTGGTGCAAGGGGACAGCTCACCTGGCCAGGCCCTGGATGCCGGAGGCCCCTCGGGACAGGCACTGTGCCCGGAGCTGCTCCACGGTGGCGTCCACGGTGTCCATGCTTGGTCGGGGCTCTCAGGCAGCTGCTTGGGGAGAAGTCGAGGTAACACTCCTGCTCAGCCGGCCAGACCCACCCTGGGGACGGCCCCTCACCTGGCCTGCACTGCTGCCTGCTGGGCCCAGTGTTAGCTGCGTGTCCTGCCTGCCGAGACTGTTGCTAAGGGACAGGGCTCTGGAGACGGGGAGGGCCCGGCTGTAACTCTCACTGTGTCAGGGCCGGGAGGGACAGGGTGGAGCTTACTCCCAGCCCTACAGTGTCCAGGCCTGGGACAGAGCCACGCCCAGGCGGGCAGGGAGGAGGGGCAGGCCACAGCCCTGCAGGGACTGAAGTGTTCCGGGTGGAGACAAGGCCGTGGGGGAGGCTCGGAGCCTGATTCCTTTGTGACCCAGAGCAGGTCCTGTCCCCTCTCTGGACTTCATGGGACATCTCAGCCAAAGCCAGGGCCCACAGAATTGCTGAGTAATCAGAATTCAAAAGGATTTGAGGTGGCCCAGGTCCTGGGACCCCAAGACCACCTGCCCAGGCCCACGTCCAGTGCGAGGTCCTCAGAACCCTTGAGAACTGCGCCCAGGCATGGCAAATCTGGAGTCTTGGCAATAACAGCGACAAAGCTGTTCCTAGCAGTCTTTAGCAGCCAGTCACAATACTTTTGTCGTTGTGGGTCTTCAAGCATTGCTTGGGGGACTCGTTCATGACAAGTTGGGTGAGTCAGAGGCTGTGGCACCAAGCAAAGGAGCAGCCCTAACCCCTGACATACACCATGAGGGACCAAGGCCACCTCACAGAAGGCCTTTGACAGAGGCATTGGACCTAACTGCCAGCTGAGATGGTCGGGTTTCCCAGGACTTAAAACTGGGCCCGGTTTGGGAACCCCCACCTGCACAGGACTCCCCCACCAGGGATCACCGGAGCTTTTCAAAGCCTGGGGTGACACAGTGCAGTCCTGTCGTCGGAAGTTGCCTTTGCAGTTCAGAAAACAATCTGTAAGTTACAAGCCACCCAGTGCCGTGACTCTGACCAGGGCTGGTGGAACACAGTTTTAGGAGAAACCGCAGTGACATTTTACTGCCAAAATTCTGATGCCTCCCTGCAGTCTAGAATGATTCAAGTAGGCAGAGAAATACTTCATTGTGTTTTTTTTTTTTTATGAGTGTTACAAGCATCCTTTTTTTTTTCCTATTGAAAAAATGTAAAATATAACCACATTATTGTAGCTCTGTTTGGGCATCTCTTCACTTTTAAAAGAGTTAAGAATTTCAACAAGAACCTCCTCCAAAGTTGGAAGTGGCCCTGGCCCTCCGAAGGGGGAGGGCCATTTCCCTTCCCTTCTCCGGGCCTCACTTTGCACAACTGTAAAGTGGGCCAATGCCCGTGTCCATGGGGGGCTGCAAAGATCAGACACAATTGCGTGTTTAGAGTGTCTGGCATGAGCTCCCTAGACCAGCGCTCCCCAAACTTTTTGGCACCAGAGACCAGTTTCATAGAAGACAGTTTTTCCACAGACCCAGAGGGGGGGGTGGGAGGATGGTTTTGGGATGATTCAAGCGCGTGACATTTATTGTGCAGTCAAACCTCTCTGCGAATGACAATCTGTATTTGCAGCCGCTCCCCAGCGCTAGCATCACCGCCTCAGCTCCACCTTGGATCATCAGGCATTAGATTCTCATAGAAGCCGCAACCTAGACCCCTCGCATGCGGTTTATAGTAGGGTCTGCGCTCCTATGAGGATCTTTTTTTTTTTTTTGAGACAAGAGTTTCATTCTGTCACCCGGGTTACAGTGCCGTGGCCTCAGCCCAGCTCACAGCAACCTCAAACTCCTGGCCTCAAACTCCTGCCTCAGCCTCCTAAGTAGCTGAGACTACAGGTGCCACCACCACACCTGACTAATTTTTTTCTAGCTTTTTTTTTTTTTTTGAGACAGAGTATCACTTTGTTGCCCAGGCTAGAGTGAGTGCCATGGCATCAGCCTAGCTCACAGCAACCTCAAACTCCTGGGCTCAAGCAATCCTGCTGCCTCAGCCTCCCGAGTGGCTGGGACTACAGGCATGTGCCACCATGCCCGGCTAATTTTTTCTATATTCTATTTACAGTAGAGACGGGGTCTCGCTCTTGCTCAGGCTGGTTTTGAACTCCTGACCTCGAGCAATCCGCCCGCCTCGGCCTCCCATAGAGCTAGGATTACAGGTGTGAGCTACCACACCCGGCCTTTTTTCTAGTTTTAGTAGAGACAGGGTCTTGCTCTTGTTCTCAGGCTGGTCTCAAACTCCTGAGCTCAAGCAGTCCTCCCACCTGGGCCTCCCAGAGTGCTAGGATTATAAGCGTGAGCCACCTTGCCCGGCCTCTCTAACTCCACTGCCGATGTGGGAGGAGGTGGAGCTCAGGCAGTGACGCGAGCAATGGGGAGCAGCTATAAATACAGGTGAAGCTTCGCTCACTCGTGCGGCTGGGTTCCTAACAGGCCACCCACCGGTACCAGTCCCCAGCCCTAGACCATACCTCGTGTCTCGAGGTCCAGCGGGGCCCCAGCCTGGACACAAATGCCGCAGAGAGCCACCCCTCCAGCCCCCTGCCAGGAAGAAAGGATGAAGAAGACCAAGAAATCATCTGGTTTATTCTTAAGCACCGACAGGCCCCAGCCTGCTTTCCCGTTGTACAAACAGTGCCCCCTTATTCATCCAGAGGAGAAAATGGGGCCATTGTTTCTGCACTGAGGGGTCACTGTTTGATGCCAGGCATGCAGGCGGCACCACCCTGAGGGCCGGGATGGCCACCGACCTTTCTGGGCTGCAACGGGCTCTGCCCCTTGGCGGTTCCAGTTCCTGGCGTGACAATTCCCTGAGTGAGGAGGCTGGGGAACAGACTGCCCACTGGGCCGGGCATAGAAGGCACAAGGGTTCTTTCCCTGGTTTGGTTTGACAAAAAGCAAAGCGCCCTGATGTCCTGGACATCAAGGCCAAGGACAGTGTAGAAAATATTGAGTTAAAAAATAGATTCTCTAGGCTGTATAAAAATGAGATCGCTGCTTGCTACAAAAGCTAGGCCCAGGGGTGGGGGCCCCTGGTTCCCTTCAGGGTCGGCAGACCCATCCTATTCCTGCGGGGCCTCCTGGAGTGTGTCAGGTACTGGTGACAAACAGGGAGCAAGACCGACAAAAATCCCTCCCCTCACGGAGCTTTAACTCTGGAGGTAAGATGGTAAGAGGTTCCGTAAATAAAATAAAATAGGGTGATGGCAGGGGTGGGGAGGGAGGAGTGCCTCTCTGAGAAGATGCCATCTGAACAAAAACCTGGGTGACAAAGAACCAATTGTGAGGTTGCAGAGGAAGAGCGTTCTATAATAGGCAGAGGGAACAGCCAGTGCAAAGGCCCTGAGGCAGGACGGATCCATCGGAGTGCATGCGTTTTCCTGGGCAGCCTGGTTGTCTCGCCTGCCTGCTCTTCCTTCTGGGTTAAAGTTTGAGGGTAGGACTGAGTTAGGGAAAACAGATCTAGGATTAAAAATCTGTCTTCGGCCGGGCGCAGTGGCTCACACCTGTAATCCTAGCTCTCTGGGAGGCCGAGGCAGGCGAATTGCTCGAGGTCAGGAGTTCGAAACCAGCCTGAGCAAGAGCGAGACCCCGTCTCTACTATAAATAGAAAGAAATTAATTGGCCAAATAATATATATAGAAAAAATTAGCCGGGCATGGTGGCACATGCCTGTAGTCCCAGCCACTTGGGAGGCTGAGGCAGGAGGATCGCTTGAGCCCAGGAGTTTGAGGTTGCTGTGAGCTAGGCTGACGCCACGGCACTCACTCTAGCCTAGGCAACAAAGCGAGACTCTGTCTCAAAAAAAAAAAAAATCTGTCTTCATCTAACCAGCGTAAAATGGCACAAGGCTGGAGACTCCTAAATCTGGTCCGGGATACAGATGTAAGGAAAAGCTTCACCCCTGAGATGGGGGCTGCTTCAGGAGAAATAAGAAAAAGGCAAGAACAGTTGAAATAATGTGCAACTAGATACTGTCTGCCTCCACCAGAGAGAGAGAGAGGTCTCAAACTCAGATGCTTCAGGGGCCAGACATTACCTAGGGGAAGCAACGGACCAGTTGAAACTCACCCTGGCTCAAGGGGTATCCTAGACTCAGATCCAAGCAAGCATGCCCCATCTTGCCAGAAAGCCAGATTTTTGTGTAAGCATTGCCAGTTTTTCAACAAGGGTGATTGATTGGAACTTAAAAAAAAAAATCTGTCTGGGTTAAACATCTGCATTTGGCCTGTGGGCCTGTTTGAAAACTTTGACTTTTCAGCTTGCTTTGACGTTTGGACAGGATTATAAGTTGCCACAGGGTCCCTTCCAGAACACTGGTGACCCCTGAAGACACCCACAGCAGTGGGCTTCTGTCTCCATTCTGGAATCTGTGCTCCAGGCTCACACTGTGGTCCCAAACACTGCAGGCTGGAGCTGGTCCCTGTCCCCCTCTTCCCCAGTGCTGTTGGCAAGGGGTGGACCAGGCCCACCAGGGAGTGGGTGGCCGGGGTCATTGGATGGCAGAGGTCCCAGGCGCTCAGCCTCAGCCAGGGCGGACAGCAGCCTGGCCAGGGGCAGCCGGCAGCGACAGATGTCCTGCAGCAGCTCGGCCCGGGGCTGCAACTGCCTGATGAGTTCGTCCCTCTGGTGCACAGCGGCCTGCAGGCTGTGGGCAGTAGCCTCGGAGGTCAGCAGCTGCTCCCGAAGAGTGGCAATCTCGCTGGCGGGAAGGCAAGACAGGCTGGTTACAGTGCTGGGGATCAGAGGGTCTGCTCCTCCCAGCTCCTGACTCTCCCCAGGCTCCACGTAACCTCTGTGATAAAGTCCACACTCCTTGCCACTGCCTCGGGGTCTTCCCTTATTATTGGATTCAATGTTTGTATCTCCCCTAAATTCATGTTGAAGCCTTAATCCCCAATGGGAAGGTATTTGGAGATGGGGTCTTTGGGAGGTAATTAGGGTTAGATGAGTTCATCAGGGCAGGGCCGCCATGATGCAATGAATACCCTTATAAGAAGAGATACCAAAGAACTTGCTGGCTCTCCCTGGCACATGAGGACACAGAAGGTGGAAGCCCCCAACCCATGAAGAGAGCTCTCACAATAACCTGACCATGCTGGTACCCTGCTCCCAGACTTCAGCCTCCAAAACTGTAGGAGATAAATCTCCGTTGCTTAAGCCACTCATTTTAGCAGCCTGAGTTAAGACAGCCCTCTTCACTCCCCCTCACTCTTCTTGCGGTTCCGTCTGGCCCAACATCTCTTCCCGTTTGTTGTTCCTCCTCCAGGAAACCTCCCCTTAGGACCCACAGGTCCCTGTGCGCCCCTCCCTCAAAGCCCTTCACTACCCATGTTGTAACCACCCCGTGATGTGTCTGTCTCCCACTGGACTGTGAACTCCCTATGGGCAGGGCTGTGTAGGTCCTACCCATGTGCTGCGGTAGCGGCACAGCGCCTGGCACAAAGAAGATGCTCCATAAAGATGAATGAATGCATCCCACTAGCTCTGAATCAATCACTTCCCGCCTGGGCCCCAGCTCCTCCCTCCTCTCTGGGTGCTTGTCTCATCCTTTTCAATCCTCAGCTGCCAGAGGGACTCTTCAAAAATGCTGGTATGATTCCAGCCTCCCCCTGCTCAAGAACCTGCTTTGGCTCCCAATGCCTACGACAGGTGGGCACTGAGTAGTCAGTGGTCCCTGCGCCCCTCAGTACCAGCTGATTCTGCCTGTGGGACAGTGGACCCTGTCTCAAGTTAGAGATCCACACTTGTGTCACATCTCCCAACTTTACATACTGATGACCAATTCGAGTTCTTTGGTGTTTTTTTTTTTTTTTCAATCCCACCAACAGTCCAACTTCCGCATGGGTGCTCACGGCTCCCCCTGCCCTTCTTGCTTTGCAATCTCGGCTCCGCCTCCGCCCACCTCCTCGGAGAAGTCCACCTGGCCGGCCCCAGGCCTCACCGGTCCTTGGCGCGGCCCAGCTCGTCCAGCGCGGCGCGCAGCAGCTGGTCGTGGCGGGCCAGGCGCTCGGCCTGGGCGTGCACCGTGCGCTCGGCCGCGTCCAGCCGCGCCTCCAGCTCCGCCGCGCGCCGGTGCACGGCCGCCAGGTGTGCGTTCGCCTCCCGGATTTGCAGGGCGGGAGGCGCCGACATGGCCCCAGCCGCGGTCCAGGCCCAGCCACGCCCCCGGGCCGCCCGGAACCGGCACAGGCCCCGCCCCCGGACGGGCCCCGCCCCTTGGGACCGAGTCGCGATTGGCCGCGGACCTCTCCGGACTCCGCCCCCAGGCCGGCTCGAGCTCACATCCAACCCGCACACCCTCGCTGGTTCAGAGATCTTGAAACTCCGCCCCTGAGCCCGATCTAACTCCAAGATTGGCCAAAGTCTTGACAGACCACGCCCCCACCCCCTTCAGTGGCTCGCCCACCTCAGGCTCTGGAAATGAGACTGGTCACACCTTCGAGACAGGGCCGGCCCTACTAAAACCAAACACCAGAATTGGTCCGAATCCCACAGAACAACAAACCTGACCACGCCCCCGAACCGGCTGCCGGTCAAAGGCAGCCTCAGGCACGGCCACGCCCTTTAGACACTCATACAGCCCGGGATTGGTCAAATGTCTTTCAGATTATGCCTCCGGTGCTGGCCACGCCCCCAAGCCAAGAGCACACGTACATGATCGAGCCCAGGGCTTGAGCAAGCCGCAGATTGGACGAAGCCATGTCCTGCTAAGGTTCTAGCACTAGGATTGGTCACTTTCCAGATAAGGCCCGCCTCTGGGCCTGGCCACACCCCAAAATAGTCGCACGCGGTTCAGACTCCGGTTTAAAGGCTGGTTACAGGGCATGACCACGCCCCAAACAGATTCTGGCGCTGGGAGTGGCCACGCCGCCACCATGCCCCACCCCACAATTACGTCTAACCTATCAAGTGGAGTCCTGCTTCGCGCCCTAGCCAGCGCCTGCGTGTGGGTCCAGCACCCGTTACAGACTCGTCCCTCTATGAGGCCCCACCTGCGGTAGTCAGACCATCCCTAACCTAGGACCCCTAGAGCTAGGACTAGCTAAACCTGTCTTTTGTTGTTGTTGTTGTTGTTTGTTTGTCTGAGACAGAGTCTCACTTTGTTGCCCAGGCTAGAGTGAGTGCCGTGGCATCAGCCTAGCTCACAGCAACCTCAAACTCCGGGGCTCAAGCGATCCTCCTGCCTCAGCCTCCCGAGTAGCTGGGACTACAGGCATGCGCCACCATGCCCGGCTAATTTTTTCTATATATATTAGTTGGCCAATTAATTTCTTTCTATTTATAGTAGAGACGGGGTCTCGCTCTTGCTCATGCTGGTTTCGAACTCCTGACCTCGAGCAATCCGCCCGCCTCGGCCTCCCAGAGTGCTAGGATGACAGGCGTGAGTCACCGCGCCCGGCCTAAACCTGTGTTCAGTAATCGCGGTCCGCCTCAGTTTCCCCCTTGGAGAATCGGCCGGGGGGGTGTGGTGCACGAGCTGTTGTTTTACTGCAGACCCGCCCTGGCGCGTGCGCACACGTGTCCGTGTCCGCGGCGCTCAATAAAGTTGCGCGCTTGTTGCCGGCCCGTCAGCCCGGGAGGCTGCGCGCGCGGCCCCGGAAGCCTCGCGAGAGCCAGCAGCGGCTGCCCTTGGGTGCGTGGGGCCGGTGCGGTCCGCGGTGCGGTGCCTAGTGGAGTGAGCTACCATGGCGCGGACGCTCGCTCGTCGGTACTGGGACATCCCCGAGGGCACCGACTGCCACCGCAAAGCCTTCATCAGCGCCAGTATGGGCGGCTTAGGCGGTAAGCGCTGGCCAGGCCCGAGGATGGAGGGCAGAGGGCGGAGGGTGCAGGGAGGTCATGGGGTCACTGGGGGCTGTCCGAGTGGATCATGGGGAGCTGGGTCTCGCGGGGTGACACGTGGTCATCATCGGGGTGTCTGGGGCAGCCATGGGGACTCCTGTGTGCGATAGACCTGTTGTGGGGGAGTCCAGCAGGGATGGGGGGCACCGGGAGGTCGCGTCGCATGTGACGAGCTGGTCACTGAGTTCGTCAGGAGCGGCCCCTGGGTGATCGGATGGAGGGAACATGTGAAGGGATTATTGGTGTAGCCGGCACTTTGGGAGGCCGAGGCGGGAGGATCACTGGAGGCCAGGAGTTCAAGACCAGCCTGGGCTACATAATGAGACCCCATCTCTGCAAAAGATAGGAAAATTAGCCAGGCGTGGTGGTGGCATCTGTAGTCCCAGCTACTGGGAAAGCTGAGGCAGGAGGATCACTTGAGCCCAGGAGTTGGAGGCTGCAGTGACCTATGATTGTGTGACGCTCTGGCCCTGGTGACAGGGGAAGCTGTGGGGCAGATGGAGCCACTAGCAGAGTGGAAGGGGCTAGAGGTCGTGAGACTTGCCAACAGGGTAACTTTGAGATTCAGGGGGTCATTGGTCATTATTGGGATGCCTGAGGGGGTCTGAGAAGCTTGAGAAAGTTATAGGGTAGACTGAAGTCTTTCTAGGGTCAAAGTACAAGTGGTCGGGGACATCTGACACTTTTATTGGGGCCACAAGAGGGGTCCTATAAGGGTAGCCTTGTGGGGTCATGAGGGGACGCACAACCCTGGCATCCCCCCTGTAGGGGAGTCCCCAGATTCTCGCCCCTTCCAGCCTGAGCGTTTCACAGACATGGTCTCCTTTAATTCTCAGTCACCTCCATCTCCCCAGCTTCCAAAACAGGTCCTGGCAAAAGTTGAGTCTCCACTGGAAGGCATTTGGATTAGGGTGGACAGACCACTCTTATATTTCCATTTCTCAGAGAGGTGGGAACTCAGGGTGGAAGAAGTATATTCACTGCCCCAGAGTCATTTGGAGCTGGGCTGCAAATCCAAGTCTGACCTGTCCCTAGAGGTCTCTGGGGCAAGGAATGTGCTCACAGGGTCCCTTATGGAGGGTCTCCAGGAGAAAGGGCTGGAGGGGGAGTCCCAGGGGATGGGGTTACGTGGCGTCAGCTTGAATGGGGAGTGCTTGGGAAGTCCTCAGGTGTGTGTTGGGGTCCAGCAGGCCTGTGGGGAGCACTTTTAGAGCCTTGGGGGGCTGGGCAGGGTTGGGGGGGTCACTCTAGGGGGAATTTATTCTGGCTGATTCTTAAAGGGAGACACTGACATTAAGGAATAGCTGGCAGAACTTTTTAGGGGGTCATGGTCGTGTTTCGGGGGAAGTTAAAGCAGGAGGAAATCACCTGCAGGGCAATTTTGAAAGGTGATGGTTTAGGGCTGTGGTCCCCAATCCCTGGGCCAGTTGTCTACCATGAAACTGGTCCATAGTGCCAAAAAGTTCGGGGACTGCTGGTTTAGGGCTTTTTGAAACTGAGAAAGCCGTGACTGTTGGAGTCTGTGAGGGAGAGGGTGCTCATGTGTGAACACAGCATAGGCGAGGTCTCGGGAGGCCATTGGGGGACACCGAGCTTGTCTCAGGATGGGGTCCCCGGGGAGCTCTCTGGAGGCTCTTGGAGGGGCTGGGGTAGGAACCTTTGACAGAGGTGCCATGTTGGGGAGTCTCAGAGGGCTCCAGATTTGGGGGTGGTCAGGGGCTTCTGTGAGCTCTCCAGTGTGCCCAGGGGTCTTCCAGGGTGACCCTCTGTGCCTGTGTTGCTCACTGTCCACGAACTTTTCACTGGCCAACTCCACTCAGCGAACAGGACTTGGCCTGAATGTGCTCCTGGGTCCTCCCCTTGCTGCCCCACCCCCCTTCATTCCGGGCCTCTCCTCGCTGCTCATCTGAGGGAGATAATTTGTTTCATGTCTGGCTTCCTTGAGATGGGACCCTGGACGGCAGGAAGACTGCTCAGCAGAGCCCAGCACCTTGTGGGCATGCCATAACTGGGAATGAATAAGTGAATGAATGAATGAATGAATGGAGGAGGCATCTTGTGGGCACACAGTAACTGAGTGAATGAATGAATTTTGTGAACCAATGAGCCACCTTGTGGGTAACTGAACAAATGAATGGCATGCACTGTCTGGAGGGTCGCTGTGGGAGGCTCAGAGGGAACTGGCAGTAGGGGAGCAGGGGAAAGGGGCCTCTTAGAGCATGTTGGGGGGATCCTGGAGGGATGGGGTGTTGGGGGGGTAACCGTGTTGGATGGCTGGTGGGGGAGAGTCAGGGAGGGGGAGTCCGTGGCCACTATGGGGTGATAAGGGGGTCCCAAGTCATCCGCTCCCAGTTCAAGGAGGGGACATGGGGATGGGGGCACTTTCTGTATCAGGGTGGTCCGTGAGCCGGGGGACTCTTGGCCAGGATCGTTGGTGTATGGGGTGGTATCAATAAGTTTTTCCCCAGGGGTCACTCCATGACGGGATTCAGAGCCATCACTGAGTCTCATGGCGGGGAGGAGAGGGTTATAAGACCCTGGTGGCTGGCCCAGCCCTGGATTGAAACTTATCAGGTCCCAGGTGGGGCAGGAATCCCTGCTGAATAAGAATCTTTAGGCAGAGCAAGGTGGCTCACGCCTGTAATCCCGCTACTTTGAGAGGCCGGGGCAGGAGGATCATTTGAGGCCAGGAGTTTGAGACCAGCCTGGGCAACATAGTGAGACCCCCTATGTCTGCAAAAGACAGAAAAATTAGCCAGGCATGGTGGCATGCATCTATAGTCCCAGCTACTGGGGAGGCCGGGGCGGGAGGATCACTTAAGCCCAGGAGTTGGAGGCTGCAGTGAACTATGATCGTGCCACTGCACTCCGGCCTGGGTGACAGAGCAAGACCCTTTCTCCAAAAAAGGAAAAAAACAGTCTTTAAAGCTGGTGGGCGAGTGTGTGTGTGGGGGGCTGAGGTGTGACTGAGGATAGGGGCTGCTAGGCTGGGGGCAGGTGGCAGGGTTTGGGGAAAGCCCTGGACCAGACTCCAGTCCCTTAGCCTGGGTGTGGCAGCCCCAGCCCTGCTCCAGCCCCCGTCCTGGCACTTAGCTCCATCCACCTTTCTGAGTGGGGATCCTAGGGTCTGGTGTGGGGTCCAGAAAAACAAGACCTGAAAAGCGGCTTTCTTCCCCACACCCCTGCGCCTTGGTTTCCCCATCTGTGCAGGGAGGGAGCAGTCTTGGCACTCTGCAGGGTCGCTCTGAAGATTAAGCCACAGGGCCAGTGTGAGCTGAATCAGAGCCGGGGCCGGGGGCAGGAGGGAGGCACTGCCACGCCAGGATGTCCCGGGCATCTATGAAGCAGGGGGACCAAGACAGAGCGTGGGCTTTGGCCAGACCCGCCTGGCTTCCAGGCTAGCTGTGATGGGTGACCTCTCTGAGGTCCCCTGGGGCCCTGAGGAGGAGAGGCGGAGCTGCCCTGTCACCCGTCCATGGCAGTCTGTTCTGTCTGGGATGTGCTGGCCTCAGGGGCTCGCTGCCAGCAGCTGGGCCGAGTTGGGGTCTGTAGGGAGAGGGAGGGTGTGTGTCTGCCCGGAGCCGCGTCAGCTGGAGGATTGGGGGAGCCCTGGCTGGGCCAGCCTTAGGCCGCCCGTCCGTTACTGGGGGCCAGGATGGGACCTCCGTCCTCACCACCCATCTGGCACTGGGTCCCCGCCCCGCCCCTGCCTGGACCCCTCGTGCTACAAAGCCAGTGTCAGGGGCAGGGCGGCGGGCAGAGTGGCCGATGGGGCGGGCGTGGGCCGCAGCCAAGCAGCCAGGTGTGCGTGCCGGGCTGGGCTGAGCCGCCGCACAGAGGGGGCTCAGCAGTGGCAGGAGGAGGCGTCACCAGCCCGGGCAGAGCCAGGGAGAAGCAGCGCCACAGCCAAGGGGGATTAGGCTGCGGGGCCCCGGGCTCCTCAGGAGAATGGAGCCTTTGATGGGAGCTGGGCCCCGGGTGCCAGGGCCTGTGGGTGGCGCCGCCAGGTCACGGACAGTCCTCTACCTGAGGGTCAGCACGGGTGACAGGGACCTGGCAGGCGATCTGCAGGCGCCGGCACTGGGCAAGCTGAAACTGTGTCTCCGAGCAGGGCAGGGACTGCTGGGGGCGAGGGGGTGTCAGGGCTCGCCTGGCTTTGGAGCGGCCCCCACCCCTTTTCACATCCCGCTCTGCCGCCCAGCCAGGTCTGAGCAGTCTCCTCTCTGTCTCGCAGGCGTGGTGGTCTCTGCCTACAGCCTCTCGCTAAGGCCCGAGAAAACCATCCTCGATGGCGTGGCCAAGGCCGGGCGCTACACGTTCACTGCAGGTGAGCCGCGGCGCGGGCGGCTGGGGGCTCTCCTGGCACCGTCCCGGCCCTCGGGGCACGTTCCATGGCTCCCGGCCAGTGTCCACAGTCTGAGCCACCAAGGAGAGTCAGATGTTCCATTTCCAGGGACACCTGGCAGGCTGGGAGCGGTCCCAGGAGGCCAGCTGCAGGGCCGGGGCAGGACGCTCGGGCGGGTGTCGGTCCCTGTCCCGTCCCGACCAGAGGCTTCTGGCAGTGACCCCTCACTCCGCCTCTGTCCCGCAGTCGCCATCGGAGCCATGTTTGGCCTCGCCTCCTGCGTCAGCGCCCAGGTCCGCCAGAAGCCCGACGACCCCCTGAACTACTTCATCGGAGGCTGCGCTGGAGGCCTGACCCTGGGAGCGCGCAGTGAGTGGGCGCCCGCCCCGCCTCCTCCCACTGGCCCCGCCCTCTCGGTGCCATCCCGGACTAGGAGCCCAGCAGGGCCCGGCCCATGGGACGCTGCCTTCCTTGACACCCAGGCCCTGCACGACCTGCCCCATCCCCTCCCCGCCCTTCCCTCCCTCCCCTCCTCACTCTGCTCCAGCCACACCTGCCTCCTCGCCGCACCTCCAGCACGTCAGGCGCGGTTCTGCCCCAGGGCCTTTGCACGGGCTGTGCCCTCTGCCTGGAGCTGTCTTCCCCCAGATGTCAGTATGGCCTCAGTGTCCCAACCACTCTGTATGATCCAGCCCCTCTCCCCCCTCTGCCCTCCCCACTTCACACCTCGTCAGGGAACATAGGTCTCTGCCCATCCCCACCCCTTGCCTGGGAGTACAGAGAGGAGGTGCCGGTCCTGGCACTGCTGTCCTCCGGTGGCACACAGAGCCTTTCAGGGAGCTACTCTCACGACCTCCACTTTACAGATGTGGGAACTGAGGCTCAGGGAGGGACTTGAGTGGCCCAGACTCAATTGAGAGCAAGTAGCTTTCCCCGCAGCCAGCAGAGGGGGCAGTCCTGGAGGTTCTGGGCCACCTTGGCACAGGGGAGCCCCTCTGGCTCAGGGGGCAGCTCCCCGTGAGCACAGGCTCCGTGGTCACTGCTGCCTGTGTCCCTGGTCCACTGAGACTCGTGCCCTCAGAGCCTTGGGGCTGGCAGGAGGACCCCTGCATGTTGCCCACAGAGGCCTGGCGTGTCTCGAGTGCTCCGTGGCAGATGGCAGCCAGGCAGAGAGCGCGGGCACCGGGAAGAGGCCCCATCCCTGTGCCGCCACATGAGGACCTCTTGATGCCCTGGCCCTGCCCGGTTCCCGCCTGGAACTGCCCGTAGTTGGGGGCAGTTTGAGGTCTGGGCTTGACACGCAGCCTGGCCCTGGCTGGGACGGCCCTGCCCTGTCTGCGATGGGAGTGAGACCCCGCGGGTCCTGGTAGATGGGACACGCCTCCTTCCTCCCCCGGCGGGGGCTCCAGGGCAGGAAACCCAAGGCGAGTGGGGGCAGCCCTGTGCTCACTGGTTCACAGAGCACAGGCAGCTGCGTGGCCGGGCCCCGCCTTCCCGAGCCCGGCGCCAGGGGCAGTACAGAGTCCCTCTCACCTCGGGTGGTCAGTGCCCGACCAGAGAGAGGAGCCGACAGCCTGGACTCCTGCCGCACATGGACCAGGGCTCAGGCCTCCCTCTGTGCCTCAGTTTCCCCATTTCCAGAGTCTAGTGCCCATCCTGCGTTTGTTGGAGGATTGAGTGACTTCCTGAAGTAAAAGGGATGTCCTCTTGGGATTCCCAGTGCAGCTCCCAGGGTGGCCTCGGGCTGGGGTGTGGGGCCCCCACTCCATGCCTGACACCCTGTCCCCACTCTCGCAGCTCACAACTACGGGATCGGCGCCGCCGCCTGCGTGTACATGGGCACAGCGGCCGCCCTGGTCAAGATGGGCCAGCTGGAGGGCTGGGAGTTTTTTGGGAGACCCAAGGTGTGAGTCTGCCGTCCGCCAGGGCCTCGGCGGGTCCGGATGCATCTAGAAATAAACTGTGTGTATCTGTGTGTGAGCGTCCCGGAGAGCTTGGCGGCAGGGACACGCCAGCGGGCGAGGGGAGTGTGGGAGGCTCAGGGCTGGTCGGGAGGGAACGAGGAAGGGAGATAAGATAAGGTCCCACACGCGCCTGCCTGCCGCCTGGCCAAGGGCACCAGCCTGGCCCTGCCAGCCGGGAGTGTGGCTGGCTGGGGCCAGAGGAGCCCAGGAGGGGTGGTGGCCAGGATGCAGCCTGGTCACGGCGCCACACCAGTTCCCGGGCCAGGGCGGGGGCCTGCGAGTGGCCGCCAGTGATGGAGACTGCGCCCTGCCACCCACAGCCCCTCCTTCAGCTCCAGCCATGGTCCCTCTGCAGGTCACTGCCGTCCCCTCTCTGGGCCTGCCCCCAAAGCCACCAGCATGTGGAAAACACGCCTGGCGGCATCTCCAGGTTCCAGGGCATTGGAGCGGAGAGTCCTGGACACGCCGGCCCAGGAGCCTCGTCCCCATCCGGCAGGTCCCCAGGGCAGAGCGGGACAAGACCCACTGTGATCCGTGCCTGGCGCCCGTCAGGCCTGCGGTTTAGGCGGCCCTGGAATGCCAGCGCTGCCCGGGGCTCTTTCCAGAACTGGCTCTGCGCATCCTGGCAGCGGGAGCCTGGCGAGCGCCCACACGCCGGGGCGACAGGCCGGAAATCAGGGCAGCGGGCCCCACCCAGGAGAGCACAGCTGCAGCCCTCCTGTGCCCTCACCTGCGTCCGTGCTGGCCTCCTCCCCCTCCTCTCCAGCCCGGCCCTGGCGCCTAGACGTGGCCAAGCTCCAGACTCCACGTTTAGCCTCCCTTTGCTTCTTGTCCACCCAGGATGACACTCAGCCGGTTGTTGAGCGGCTAAACGTGACCGTGAGCAGAGCCTGGAGCGAGGCGGGTCCCACTTTGTTTTTTTGTTTTTTGTTTTTTTTTTGAGACAGAGTCTCCCTTGTTGCCCAGGCTAGAGTGAGTGCCGTGGCGTCAGCCTAGCTCACAGCAACCTCAAACTCCTGGGCTCAAGCAATCCTCCTGCCTCAGCCTCCCGAGTAGCTGGGACTACAGGCATGCGCCACCATGCCCGGATAATTTTATATATATATTAGTTGGCCAATTAATTTCTTTCTATTTATAGTAGAGACAGGGTCTCGCTCTTGCTCAGGCTGGTTTCGAACTCCTGACCTCGAGCAATCCGCCCGCCTCAGCCTCCCAGAGTGCTAGGATTACAGGCGTGAGCCACTGCGCCCGGCTTCCCACTTTGTTTTCCTTGCTCCTGTGTGGCGAGTCCAGGTCCTTCCTCCAGCCCTTGCCCCCGCCCACCAGGAAGTGGGCCCAGGTACCCTGGGTCACGTCCGGAGCCGGGGACCTGGGCCTGGGCTTGGGGGCCCCTGTCTCAGGTGGGCGGTGGGGTTGGAAGCCCGCCCAGGCCCTGACACAGCTTTGGATGGAGGGAGGGCCCTGGGTTTGCACCTGCACTTGGTTTCTTCCCTGGCGCTGTGTCTTCGGGTGACACCAGCGTCAAAGCCTCCGCTTTCCCACCTGGCGTGGGAGCAGCGTCCCCCGCAGTCTCCCAGATGTCCCGCCAAGAAGGATGGTTCTCTCCCCCCGTGGGTGCCGCGCCGCCTGCTCTGTCTCCTCCATGGCCGGCAGGGGGCGCCACCCATCCGGCTCAGCTGGGCACGGGCGGCTTTGTGGTGGCCACAGAGGAGTCCAATCCTGTCCCTCCTCCCACTGTAGGCCACTCTGTCTTCTCACCCCTTTTCCCTCCCTCCTCCTGTCCGAGACAGCCAGGAGGTGACGGGCTCCAAAAGAAGGCAGCACAGCCCGTGTCCCCAGCCCAGGACAGACTGTCCAGGGCCCCACAGCGGTTGCCCGTGGCTCTGCACTGCTGCGGCCTCCAGACCGGGTCTGGGGCCTCTGCCTCCTGCGAGCCCCACCCCCACGCCGGGTCTCACAGCCCCTCTCACAGATGCGCACACCAAGGCCAGGGGGGAGGGGAGGAATGCAAAGCCAGCAGCCCCCTCCCACCTTCCAGCCTCAGTTTACCCACTGCATTCAAGAGAGCCTGCTGCTCAGACCAGGGACTGTGCTTGCCGCCCACCCAGCCCATTCTGGGCCGGCCGCCAGTGTTGGAGCCTGCCGGGCCCCCCAGAGTGGGGCAGGAGGGGCGGCTGCTCGCTGGGCTCCAGGGAGCCCCAAACTCAGGCCCCCTTGCCCATAAACATTTACTAGGCTGTGAGCAGCTGACGTCACTGCTGCCCCACACACGGCCCCCTCGGGGAGGGCCCAGCCCGGAACATCCACCTCTGCCTGGCGGCCCCCTGTGAAACAGTGGAAGACCCTTCTGGAATTTTCTGGGAGCTTGACGTAGCCCCTCCCAGCCCCTAGCAGTCAGGGCTGGAGCAGAGGGGGAGCAGGCAGCCGTCAGGGGCCTCCTGGCCCAGGGCAGGTGCCTGGGGGCCATGGGGCACATACTCCCCAAGAAACCAAGCCCCGGAGACACGGCCCCTTGGGGACAAGGCTGCAGGAAGGCAAGCCCCGTCCCTTCAGGGTCTCCATGCACTGTGTGAGTGAAGACAGCGTTAGCAAGAAAAAAAGGAGGGAAACAACCACTGAGCCCTTCCCGCCTGCCGGGGTGGCCAGGTTGTCCTTACTGACCCGCCCGCCTGAGCTGTGTTAGGTGCTGTCCTGCAGGTGGGAAACTGAGGCTCTGGGAGGCGACTTCCCAGGCCCTGGCTCAGAGCAGACACTGAAGGAAGCGTCACTCTCGCCATCATTAGCTGTTTGGAAACATGTCTGTTCTCTGAAAGACTTGCCAAGTGGTCTCTTGGTGGGAGCAGAAGCAGCCGGGGAGAGCAGGACGGTGTTCTCTGGGGCGACGTCGTGCCCCGTGAGCTGTGAGGGCCGAGTTGCGTGTGGGCTGTGGGCCGAGTTGCGTGTGGGCTGCGTGCCTGTCGGGTGCCGCCATGGGGTGGGACACAGGAGGCTACTGAGAAGGCCCGTGGGGCGGACATTTGCCCCGGCTGGGGCCGAGGGGCTGCTCCTCCTGCCCTCCCACCCCTCACGAGCCCCTCAGCCTAAATAGTCCATCCTGGACCTGCCCCTGGCCCCGTCCCAGTGTCTCCCACCAGAAGCTGCAAAGTCCCCTCCGCCCTGGTCTAAGCCCCCAACCCCGGCCCCCCGTGGTGCGTCCTTCCCACAGCAGCCAGAGGGCGCCTATGAGCACCTGAGGCAGGGCCTGTCCCTCCTCTGCCCACAGCCCTCCATGGCTCCCGTCTCCCTCGGGGTCAAAGCCCAAGTCCTCCCCTGTCCCCTCCCTGCCCTCTGGCCCTGCTCACTCAGCTGCAGCCACACGAGCCTCCTCGCTGTGCCTCCAACACGCCAGGCACAGTCCTGCCCCAGGGCCTTTGCACAGGCTGTGCCCTCTACCTGAACCCTCTCCTCCAGATGTCCCCACAGCTCACCCCCCTCAGCTTTCGGCTCAGATGTCACCTGCTCATCCCACCTGACTAGCAGCACTCCACACTCCTGGTTTTGCCCATAGCACTTCCCAGCTCCTAAATCGCATGCCACCAGCACGCGTATTGTTTATGCGTGTCTGCTGGGGGGCTGGGATATATCCTGCCTGCTAGATTGTTGATCCCAACCCCGGCACCCAGCCTAGGATCTCAGCAGGGCTCGATAAATATGCGCGGAATGAATGGATGGATAAACAAACGAGTGAGTGGATCTCTAGGCCGGCCAAAGACACGACGGTGGGGAAGGCAGAGGAGAGACACCATCCATCTCCGAGAACCTCGAAGCCAAGACTCAGAATTCACTTAGCAAGCACAGTCGCACCGCTTAGTGACGTTCCAGTCAATGGCGGACTGTGTGTGTGACAGGGCCCGTCAGAGTGTGACACCGTATTCGCACTGTCCCTTTTCTGTGCGCAGCTGTGTTTGCAGACACTGGTGCTCACACGGTCACAGTTTCCTGCAGCACGACGAAATCGCCTAGGGACACGTCTCTCAGAACATGTCCCCTGGTTAAAAGCGGTGACCGCTGTATTGGTTGAGTGCTGCGCCCGGGGTACACTCAGCGGGAGTCGCGGCTGCAAACAAGACGAGCCCCCGCCCTCCTGGGGCTCAGAGTCTGGACGGGAGGGGGACATAGTAAAAGACAGCAGACAAGAGCCAAGTCGCTCCCCTGCTCCTACCCCGCCGCCATCCCCTGGGCACCGCCTGGTTTCTCACTTCTCCCTCCAGAGTCCTGCTCGGGAGATGGGGCCAGGGTGGCCCGAGAGGCAGGGAGGGGCCCTGGAGCGGGGCAGAGCAGCCAGCCTCCAGCTTGTGCAAAGGCCCTGAGGGCGGAGCGACCGGCTGCACCCCCATGATGGCCAGAGCGCCAGTGTGGTGGGTTGGGGTGACCGTGAATTAGGGGAGCCAGAATGCCTCAGGGGCACCGTACCATTGTGTCCATGGGGTCCCCGGCAGAGGGGAGGGGAGAAGAGGAAGCGGGGAGTAGGCTGGGGGTGAGGTCTTCGGGAAGAGGACCGCAAGTTCTGGCTGCGTTCCGGTGGAGGCCACATTCGTCATCACTTCGGGGTCTGGAAGTTGCGGACAAAGATTTGGGCCCCCTCGCCCCACCTGGCTTGTCGTCCAGGGCTCAGAACCCAGCGGAGCCCCAGTTCCCTGGTCCCAGGCGTCCCCTGCCTCCGCAAGGCCACACAGTCGGAGAGTGCCTTCGCCCATGGGGAAACTGAGGCACAGAGCAGCCCATGGGCCCCTCCAGTGGCCCTCCTTCCTCTCACTGTGGTCCTTCTCGGAGCTTGGACACCGAGAGGGGCCTGGCTTGGCCCCCTGCCCCGTCATTGGCGTGCGCAGGTCCCCTCTCTGAGCCAGCGGAGCCCCGGGGGTCCCGCAACGCTGGGTGGTCGGCCTGGCCTGGTCCCTGGCCCCCGCCCAGCCCGCGTCTCGCCTCCCGCGGGGCCACTAGGCTCCAAACAGTCGCTGACCCAGAGCAGAGA